CTCTTCAAGTTATTTTTCAAGTTATTTTTTTCGTCATCCCGGCCCAGGATAATCCTTTATCCACCAAGTCCATTACTCAAGAATATCCTTTATTACTTTCTTAATAGCGTGTAATACTTCCATGAGAATCACACAATCCCTAGAAATAGACGGCGCTTCTCCATTCGTTTTCAAACCACTGAGGTAAAGATGAACTATTTTCCTCATCACTGCACCTGTCCACATTGTTTTTCCTCGGCGATACATTTTCATCACTGCAATTATACATGCTGCTAGCCAGATCCAATTTATCACTGAAAACGGGTTCCCGAGAAGCGTCCTACCCTCCTTAGAAGAAATATGTTTCTTTGACGAAGGTGTTTCGTTGTCTTGATTCTTCTGCGAGAGGTGTGCACTCTTGTTGCCACAATCAACGCATCTACATGAGGACGAGCAGTATCTGCTAGAACGTAGACAAGGACAACGGGACTTGTACTTGGCTTGATTAACGCAGGACTTCGTCCCTGTCTTGTGTCTTACTCCGCACTCGCAATATTTGAAAGTCTTTGAACGCCTTTTTCGAACCTCACGAGTTGTTGGAGCATCACGGCTTATCAAGGTATCATAATGGCCTGGTCCAGACTGATCAAATAACAACAATATTGGCGATGCTCTTCGCGATCGTCTTGGCATGACTGTGTGACATTCGTTTATCACTGAAAACGGGTTCCCGAGAAGCGTCCTACCCTCCTTAGAAGAAAAATGTTTCTTTGACGAAGGTGTTTCGTTGTCTTGATTCTTCTGCGACAGGTGTGCACTCTTGTTGCCACAATCAACACATCTGCATGAGGACGAGCAGTATCTGCTAGACCGTAGACAAGGACAACGGGACTTGTACTTGGCTTGATTAATGCAGGACTTCGTCCCTGTCTTGTGTCTTACTCCGCACTCGCAATATTTGAAGGTCTTTGAACGCCTTTTTCCTTGGAGTGCTCAACAACCTCGTAGTGCCGAATAGTTCCATAGTATTACCGGACCAGGTCTGACTAGTTTATTGTTGTTATAACCGCTACGAGAAGCGCTAGCAGAACCGTACTGACACACTGTAAGCCCATTACCCAAGAAGTGGATCCTAAGTAGTATTCCAAGGGAATTTGACAGAGCTAGTGGAGCAGTGTTTTCTAAAAGGCCGGTATAGACACCATCGTTTGAGAAGCTGTAAGCGCTGGTTACGTACTCATCATGAGAGTGCTGAGGCAAAAACGGTTCATAGGTTTCTCTATTCCTTAGCCATTCATCTACAGTGATACCTCGCAGTCTTTCTGTGAGGTGGTTCGCATTCACGTCCGATAGATGCAAACCAATGCTTCTGAAATGCTCTAAATCTTCGTCTTTCCAACCATTGCGCTGAAAGCGGTGAATCATTCCTTCAGCAACAGAACGATACAGGCAATTACCATCCCTGGGAATTGCAAGCCTCACGAAATCATGCAGAGCGCTGGGCATTAGCTGAGAAGACTTGGTATCAATCGATGTATCTTCTTTAGGGATTTTCCTCTCTTCGTCTCTCACGGAATACCATTCTGGAAGAGAACCTAATGCTCCACTGCCATATATGAGATCACACAAGAGGGACACAGGGGATTTTTCATCTTCGAGTGACGTCACAGTATTTTTCAACATTTCGCACGTCTGCTTTGCTTGCTCCATCAAGTTTTCACTCTCTAATACAATCACTGATATCATGTCACTTTTCGGGTTCAGCACAAATCCTTCATCAGCCATTGATTCAATGCTGCAACACCTCTCCATGCAGGTTATGGGCAACTCCTCTGCTAACTTAACATTGTATCGATGCAAACACGCCCAAAGGAAAGTAACTGCCATCTCGAGAGATAGCCGCTGACACTTGGAAAGTTCTTGTTTCAAATGTCGGTGTAGACGTTCATTTCTGTTTGTACCAACCTGAGACGGGATTCCTGATAGGCATCCGTTTTGTATATGCTTCATAAGGGCGTTCAATTCTTTCTTTACTGGAGATGTCATAATCTTCGAGCTTTCATGTGTCTTATCCTTCCAGCAATTCATGAAAAGCACCAGCTTCCGTTCTAATTCCGCCGGGGGCAAGGTGCAATCATGACGTCGATGAAATATGCTCGACAAATCATTCAAGAACCTAGAACGAAGGACATGCTTTTTCCAAGTTTTCCTGGAGACTCTCTGAAGGGCATGGAAAAGGTCTAGTTTCACTGGGGTTCCACGGAAAAGCATGTTAAGCTTGTTCTTGTATGCGCAGCAGTTGTCTGTGACGATGAAATCTGGGAGGTGGCCGACGAATCTCTCGCGCAGTTTCATCAATGTGTGCCACACATCTTCGAGGGACGAATCACAAGTTAATTGCCACGTCAGTACCTGGAAAGGAGAGAGAAAGAGTGCCTGACTTACAAATTAAGATTTCCAGATTAAGTCACAAGCAAACTATACTGCTCTAACCTACAATTCTAGCTCATCTAAGTCTTTGAATCACTTGCTTTGAATAAGAGCGGGTGAGGCAAAAAAAAACTCGTCACTCTTTGAATTAAACACCACCGTGACTTTGTCGTCAATGTCGTTGTTTAAGGGAAAGTTTTAAGGGAGATGCCTAGGAGACTCGTAGACTTTCTTAAACGAGCAAATAGAGTTCGGCGAAATCGTGTGGTCTATAATAAAAAAAAAGCAAATGGAAATTAATTTTGCACTCGCACCTGAACGCTGAAGGGAAAACCTACGGCACTAACTATGTAGGAATTCGCTTAAAGGATTATTTCATGTGCACTTCAGAATCCGCTAATCGTATCTCTGACTTGTCCGTACGTCTGGCGATTTGGAGATGTGAATTTTGTATCCCAGGATTATCATCTTGCTTAACAATGACTTCTTCCACATAAACGCAGTTTTCTTCAGTTACTCCTAGTTTTAGTTTTCCGCTCCTTCTCTTCCTCTCGGATGAACCGGTTTCTCCCAGGTTCTGAATCAGTTTCTTAACGATAGTCCTATATTTCCTTCTTATCTTACTAGAAAATACTTGCAAAATTGTGGCCCATCCCATCATTTCGCAAAGAGCGGCATTTTTATGAAAAGACGGCGTTACGTTTCTTAGCGCAAAAATAAAGGTAGAGGCTCCATTTGCTTTCGGCGAAATATAATTATATCTAGCTCCTCTCTTGTATATGGTATTGGGATGGTAAATCCGAAGTGGGACCACTCCGTTTCCGTTGGGTGTTTGCGCCACATGCATCTGTTCTTCCTGTCACACTCCCTTCCTTTTTTTTTATCCTCCCCAATTTGTGAAATGGCGAGTGCGATTGCTTCGCGAGTGGCTGTGTCGACGCATTTCGCGGTATCATCCTCTTTCCCAGCAGGGTTGCTCCGTGACACTTGCTAGAATTACCCATTGTCTGGGTTGACCTGTGAGGTTAGAGTCGGGATCGCCTCACGGGGAGGGAATGCCAATTGAATGCCTTGTCTTCTTCAGCAAAAGGACCTTCAAGGCTTGTTTTCCTTGCTTTCGGGATCACGCTCCCGCGCTTAGCACCCCTGAGTTCACAACCTGAATCAGGCCCCGCTGACGGCCTCTATCCATTGCTTCGGGTTGATCACACGTCAGCGTGACGTCATGCGGGACGAACCAATCACGAGCGGCTGCGAGGCTCTCCATGATGGCGTTCAAAAGTGGGAGAGAAACGGGCGGGAGGTCCTGTGTTCTAGCGTTCGTGTCCGTAGACGGTGAATGTGGGTACGGCGCACGAATTAATGTTGCAGGCAGTGATTTTCAATTGAGTTCGAGATTTTTTTCATGCGACTACGACTCACTCAACTTAGGCCGAGCGTCTAATGACCGACTCACCCAGATCATACAATAAAGCGGAATTTTGTGGGCTGAGTCTAATTTCGTCGAATGAAAACATGACGGACTAGAATAAAATAGTGCCAAAGGCGAACTCAACTGAAAAAGTGTAATAGACAAAATTTAATCGTTCAGGCTTGGCAGCATTTGCTGAAGGCTGCAGAGAGGCAGCAAATACATGCTTGAATGAGTAGCATTCAAAGTCTAGGCCTACTCTAGAAGGAAAAATGTGCCTTTGTGCGTCTCGGAGAGTGCACCACCTTTGTATGTAGCATTTTTATCTTGAAAAAGATTTCATGTGCACATTAAGAGCACAATTGTATATTTGCCCTGTTCAGCAGCTGCATTTGGTGAAAGCTAGACCTAGGATGAAGTGGCCCATAAACCTAGCTTAGACTTTCCAATAGCGAAAACAACTTAGTTGAGTGAATGGGTGAGCGTTTTTAGGGTTATAGTAATTACGCGAAAGTCGAGCCCATTTCCTTAGTACAATGACGTGCTGCACAAGAGAGGCTCCATACTGAACGAATGTTTCACGCAGGGTCGTGAGTGTGTTTATCTGTAAAAGTTGGATTGTGATCTACAATATCAGCTTGAAAGCCTTTGCATCATTAGTAATGATATCGCAAGAAGCATTGAAATGCAATAATATATTTGGATTTCACGCAGGGTCGTGAGTGTGTTTATCTGTAAAAGTTGGATTGTGATCTACAATATCAGTTTGAAAGCCTTTGCATCATTAGTAATGATATCGCAAGAAGCATTGAAATGCAATAATATATTTGGACGCATGAATCGAACCAACGGCACGAAAGCCGACCCTGCGGTTCCTCAAAGTCGGGTCTGTGATCGTGCTTCCTAGCCTCACTAAGCATCCACCACCCAGCGTGAAGGTCTTAGCAAGCCTCTATACACGCACGCCGCTTGCCGTGTTGGTTTGCAGAGCCAGGAACGACCGATTTTGGACAGACTGCATATTCCCAGCATAATTGCCTGAGAGGTACCTCCAGGAGGGAGGTTCAAAGAGGGGACTAGCTGGGTATTGCTTGACAGTCAAACTTGATTACCCTAAAATTAAGGAACGCTCGACCTCGACACGTGATATCGAAATGGGTGAAATCGCCTCGTGATATCACTAACTATCTTGAATCTTGGGGTGTGTCACTGTACTCGGAAAATATGGCTCGGTATCACTGATACGATCATGGCGATCTACTGTGTGGCAGCATGGCACACGGGAGCTTCAATTGTTTTCTGTGAAACCTCGTCGAAGTTCCCAATTTTTAGCGAAGCATAATGAGCGAAACAGGTGCGAGTGAAGAAAGAAACATCGGGGATGAACAAAGGGTGAGTCGCATCCAGTTTTATGATAAGTACCTACTGTCTTTGGCAGTTTCGTGACAACGCTTGACAGAATGGAATGGAAACAACTGGCCGGCCAGAAATCAAGACGCGTTTTGTCGGATTTCCCTTTTTTTAGGCTCCCAGACTTCAGCTGGAGTTAAGCCGAGAAGAGCTCAGGGCATTGCAGGAATGTAACCGGGAGAGCTTTTGGTACAGGTCTGTGCCGATCGCCTCGTTACTTGCTGCATCTACACATTATCTCGTTAAGCTGGGTAAGATTACATCTTGCCTTTCCTGTTCGTTTAATCTGAGTTAGTGTTCATGTGAACATGGGTGGAATGAGAATGTTCATTTTGCAGAAGAAAGTTAGGTCCAGTCCCTCCCTCCTTTACATGTGAAAATAAAGGGAATTAGAAGCAGGAGGTGCAACCAGTCATAGGCTCTATTGATCAACATTAGGACCAGGGGGTGTATTCATGAAAACTTCGTAATGCGATATTCTTACGAAGTTCGTACAAACTTCATATCTTTGGTATTCACGAAACTTTGTAAGTCCTCGTCTCATTCTTACGAACACTGTTGGCATTCGTGAAACTTCATAGCAATGATAATGAGCCAGCCAACCATAACCTTTGCTCGGGAGCCACCAAACCAATCGCTGGATAGAAAGAACGTGGTTCTCACGCTAGCAGCATGACTCACAAGTCCCCATATCATAGGAGCATTCTGCAAACTTTCTGCGCATTCCATGCCGTTGTTCTTGCTCTTACAGGAAGTTTTAACATGACTGGAGATCCTGTCGAATCTTCGAAAACACCCTAAAAGACGGTACCCACCGAATCTCATTGTAATAAAAACTACAAGGTTTCAGAAATGCCCAAGGAAAAGTTTTGAACGTAGTATTAACGTTCATATCATGGAGAGTAGAGGAGAGAATGGTTGACGACCAAATTTCACCAGTTAGAAAATTGGGGTGCTCATTGAAGGAGTCAAGCGAAGGAAGAATGTCTTGCTGGAGGAACTCAACTCAAGCGTTATGGGAAAAGTGAAATTGCAAGCATTGGATTTAGAGACTGAGGCAGTGAGCTGACTCTCTTCTGTAGAGAGTTCCATAGATTTCCTCAACATCATTATTGTGACCACTTACAATACCTTGGGACCATTTGTAGACTTACGAAGAAAGATACGAACTTTTGTGCTTTCGTGAATACCAAAATTAAGCAGCATTCTTACGAACTGTGTATGAAGATTGTACAAACATCTTATGCCAAATATTTCATGAATACCACTTATGAACTTTTCTCTTCTTACGAAGAAAATTTTCATAAGAATGTTTCATGAATACGGCCCCAGAAACTCTAGAAAGGCGGCAGTTCAAACTTTAAAATGAATCTCGCCTGCTACTCCTTTCTATTCTTCTGCCCATTCTGGTATTCATTATCCATGGCTGCTGGTATGCAAGAACTTATAAAATTTATAAAATAGCTATTTTTGGGGGTATCATATGATAAGTTTAATAGGTTTGATAAGTTGGTCATATGCAGAAAAAATTTATACCTATCATGATAGGAATAAAAATAGCTTCACTCTATTATGATCCTGAGCTTGTTTATTCTGCTTATAACAAGCTACCAGGGTGAATGCAGTGCATTTGGCTGACCTGATTAATTATGTTAACCATTGCAACTTGTGTGGCAAGCTTAGTTGCTCTGTAATAGATTAAATCCCCTGGAGTTCTTTGTATCAAGCCACAGCAATCAAAATTCAAGCACTAGTCTGGTAAACAGGTCAGATTTATACCATTAAATATCACACAACACTCAGAGGTCAGTCATAATGCAAGCAGATACACATCACATTGTTCCTGGGTGCAAGATGATGGATAGGAGGTCGTCATCAGGAAGATTCATGAATACCTGTCAATATAGGTATTTTATACCTATTGTAATAGGTATGAAGATACCTATTAAAATAGACCTCACAATGCTTACCTATTAATTGTTCTTGCATATGGAACCTAGCAAATTATAGACCTATCATGATAGCTACCAATCAATAGTTTATCAAGTGATAGGTTCTCGCATAAGGGTCCATGTCTACAGTTATAATTAAGATTCTCGGTACATGCCTTGAACTGGGACACGACTTGTTTAGTCTTCTGAAGCATCACATCAGAATTTTTTTGGTTTAATTCTTCTCTGTTGTAGTCTAGGCTTATACTTGCCTATACTTATTAACTGGCCCATATGCCCAGCCCATCTTGCAGCTCACAATTACATTAATATTGAAAATGGATTGCTCCAGGATTAAGTCCCAAATATAGAGGCCTTTCTGCATTTGTTACTGGTATGACTGGCAGACTTCTTAGTGCTGGAGTCATTGTTGTGGTTTATTATCTTTTGTTGGGTAAAGCCCCCATATTTCAGCCTCTTTTGGTCAAGTTTTCATTATTGATGGATCTTCCAGTTATATTGGTAATGTGCAATTTGCTCTTGTGAATATCAGGCTACCTGGCACCCAATCCAAGATTTGGAACAGTTCCCAAGGTGTTAGGATCCACTTTTATGGGATATTTCATTGGAAAGCTGTCATATAGAACCAAGTGTGAGGAGAAGATTCTCCAGCTGCCCAATAGCAAATTGGCTGATGCCATAAGGCAAAGGAATGCTGGCAAAAATCCTTACAGGTGAGGAGAACGTTTTTTTTTTTCATATTCATGTTGAAATTCCCAGACATGGCTTTTTCATCAAATCTTGATGCCTTCTTGTCTTGGCATTTCAGCATAGCAGGAAGGACTGATCCTGATCTACAGACATCAGTAACTGTGGAATCTCCCAGCCCAGCTGCTCCTGATTTTGACCGAATGAACCAAAAATCAGGACTGGATGAATTTCGAAGGCCTGGTCTGGAAGGTCTGAGCTCTTTTATCATTTCCCCACTGTGTCCTGAGAACAGCTTAATATCTATCTTTGGGATTTCTAGATTCCATTTTGAAGGAAGAGTCACCTCCGATAGAGCCCAATCAGACCTTTGTCACGTATGATGACCTTCGAAGGCAAAATCGAGAGGAATCAGCCCCTGGGAAAGGGATGGGAGGGCGGGCACGACAGCAGCCTCAGTCTCCATCCCCTTACATGTCTACTGGAGGAACCCAGCCCATGGCACCCAGGGAATATTCTTCCAAAAGCAAAGCTCAGAACACATATGGAGATGTGTGGGAGGAATAGGTGCTTGATAGCAATCATCTAATTAGTTCTCAAGTTTCTTATAATGATTCTGTGATTTACAATAAAATCTATTGCTTTTCCCATGCAGACTTGCATCAAGTGACATATTTCACAATAACAGAAGCCATTCAGAAATGACAGCCAGATGAAATAAGAGGTGTAGTCCAAAATTAGCCTCCTTTTTACTCCATCAAATTTATTAATTGCTGCATGGCATTGAATCTCTGTCCATTTTTCACCATAGTCATCAGCTTTCTCCAGACACAGATGCCACAGCTTTACCCAGTTTTTGTAGCATTTGTTGAATGAGACTTTAGGGATGTGTTTTGACCACTGGTAAACTGCTGTTCTTAATGAATGATTAGTTCCTTGCAGAGAATCTTTGAAAGTTCCGGATAGCAAGAAGTGCGAGGGTGCCAAATGATTTCTATGCCTTTTCACCTTAAAAACACCATCACAGTGATGGCTCTGTGTGGTGGCATGTTGTCCTGATGAAGCATGAATTTGTATCATGCCAATTTATGTATCAAAAACAGTATAAAAAATATGTCTCACAACCATAGAACAAGTTGTAACAGGCTGAAACTTGCACTACACACAGCTTATAGACCTAATTAACCCTCATCTGGACAAGCTTTTTTACAACCTATTCCAGGCAAGGTGAGTCTGTTAGACTCACATGTAAATTAAGGCCGTTTGCTGCGGTTACGGTATGTATTTCTTTGTAAATTTCTTTGTATTTTTGAAGAGCATGAACAAGGTGACAAAGTCACGAAAGCTCATTTTTCTACGAAAAAAATAATGACAGTAATAGACTGAAATATGTCGTAGTGAGTCCAGTGGACTCACCTTGCCTGGATTAGGGTTAAACTCATAGGGCTGAGCATGCCATCACCGGATATGGGAATACAATGCAGAAAGTGACATTTGGCTTGAGAATTCATAGGACCACACAATGGATAATTGCATATTTTGTAGATTGGAGAAATGAAGCACAACATATTGATGAGTGGGAGGCCTAGTGCCAGTCCCTATCAGCTAGTGTAAAAACCAAACCACATATAAATATATCCACAACATAATCCAGCTGACACACACTCAGAGGCCATAACAATGCAGTTCTGTTTTTCGTCACACAACTGAGTCTGTGTCTCCTAAAAATGACAAATTTGGATCATAGACTTGCTCTACCCAGTAGCTTACCCCTTCTTGCTCAAATAAGAATCCAAATACTTATTGCTCATGCAGTCTTCCCTCAGCCCTTAGACCTTATGCTATTTCATAGCATTATCCTAACCCTTGATAATTTGTCTAATTGAAGATTCCTGCTAAACTTCAGTCATTCACAATCTCATTCAAATCTGAGGCAGCTTCTTTCCAGATTTAATATAACATAGATATTAGCAAAAGTGGAGAATACTTAAAATAATCATAATGTTTACACAATACGTTTTTCTACAATAAAAGCACTCCCATAGAATGTGTAAGCATGTTGGCCCAGCAAGCGTTTTATCATCTACCAGCATGCTTCCTCCTAAGGTTTTCCCAGAAGTTTTTGGCTTTCCCCTCCTCAGCCTCACCTTACCCTGTCCTTCTACCTGTCTGCATCTCGAGATTGGTAGTTCCCATTCCCATGCAAGTGTACACCCTCTTCACTGCATGTTATTGCAGAAGCTAATATGGTGGTTTACATTTAGAGACAATGCAGGCTGAAATCCAGATTTCCACCACTCTCTCTGGCCCTTAGGACATGCACATTTCCAGCATCAGCTTCTTTCAAAATTTTCAATTAGGGAACCTTACATGACTGGAGCAGTCGTGAGATTTTTCAGAAATTACCATTCACTGTTGCAAGACACCATCATGGCCCAGGATAGGCCCAATATATCTGGTTATTGCTGCTGTCCCAGGGCAAACTCATCCCATTGTATAAATTGGTATTAGAAGTCAATCCCATTTACAAATCATGCCCGCATGCTGATGCTTGATTCCACCAGTGGCAGCTCGTGATATACAACAATAGTACTGCACAGGTAGTTCTTGAATGGAGACAGGATATATCACAAGCCACCACTAGATTCTACTGCCATGTCTGTTCATATCAAACCAAATTTGCATGAATTATCTCAAACAGGTTTTTAAAGCTAGTAATAATTATTGGAATTGAGTCATCTCAAAGTAAAAGGACACAGGATAAATTTTCTTTCCTGTCCTGAGCTTCCTTCTCTGCTCTCACCCTTGTCATACAATTTTTTCTTCTGTGATCATGTAGTAGTTCCAAAATCATCCCATGGCCATAAACAAAGGGGGGCAAGGGGGGACATCTGCCCTGGGCGCCACCTAAGGAAGGGGGCGAAGCAAGCGAAAGGCAAATGAGGCACAGAAAAAAAGAAAAAAAAAAGTGTTACCCAGTGAAAATAAAATCAAGCAGCAAAGAAAGTGAATTTTGATCACATCATTGACATCTTTGCATTTCGCAAAGCAAGGAAAGCTGTGCTATAGGGGTTTAGGAAAAAAGCCACCTGGAAATAAGATGCCCAGATTTGGCAAAGGCAGAAAAGTGCCATCCTGTTACGTTCGGGTCAGATTAAAGACTCATTCATTTTTGGGACATTTAGTGATATTGATGTCGTGTAACTTGATAAACTTCATTGAAACGTTCTGAAAAAAAACCTAGTCCAACTTCAGCCCATTCCTTAAAAATGAACCTGTCCTTTCATAGAAGTCTCAAATGAAAATGAATTGCTATACAGGGTGTCTGGTAAGTAACTACACTTTAATTGATTATATCTTTGGTTTTAGATGACATATTTGAATCAGTTCTTTACCATTAAAAAACACATTGAATGCATTAGCTATTTAGTGAAGCTATTGCATTAGCATACAATAGCTTCACCAAACTTCATTAAATTCTGCCTCTGCTATATGTAAGCATCTTTGACATTAAAAAGACAGAAAGAAACACTTACTTCAGGGTTATTTGCACACCCAGTTTAAAATCCCGACTGGAATATTCCAGCTGGACCAAATCTGTAAATTCGGACCATTTCCAACTGGCAAACAGTAGGCACCAGTTGTTTCTTAGCTGGAATTTTCCAACTGGAATGCAGCTGGTTTTAATAGCTGTTTCCAGCTGGAAATTTTATAGAGGACCCTACAGCTACAGCTGGAATGTAGCTAAATTTACCATTGAAAATCAGCTGTTCCTGTTGATGGACCTCTGACAAAAATAGTATATAAAAAAGATTCTCATTCAGTTTGTGATATAGAAATTAGGAACAAATTTGGAGATGACTACTTTCCAGCTGTTACCCAATTGGAATGGGTCCGAATTTCCAGCTGGAGTCCAGCTGGAAATTAAAGCTGTTTCCAGCCGGGATTTTAAACTGGGCATCCAACTTATTTATTGACTGACCCTTGTATTCTGTACAACTTCTCACTCTTGAAACTCTTCTCACTCATGTATCCAGTCCATATTCGGAAAGAATGCTCAAGCCCCATCAAGTATCAAGACATCTGTGTTGACCAAGTTTTTCAAGGAATATTTGCAAGTTTGTTGGCTAGTCACACAGGGTAGGTAGCCATGGCAAATGAAGATGCTTCCAGATTTCTTAGAGTACTGTGAAGTGAGATGACATCAAATGGTGAAAACAGATCTTGGCTTGTAAAATAACTTTGCTAATGAATTAATTAAATGAGCAAAATTGTACACCTTGCAGGCCAATTCATTTTTCCTTAGACTTACAAGAAAAGTTATGCATAAACGTTCACATCAAAATATGCACTAATTCATTCCTACTTAATGAACTGTACTGGAAAGATTTGTGCAACACAGCTTTCCAAGAGAGCTCAATAACGGCATGATGTGTGCTATACATAATATATATAATACGGAGTAATATATAATATATATATATATATATATAATAATGTCCAACATTCGGAGTGCAGGGGTGAGTATGAGCACAATATTTGAGGGTCAGATCTTGCATGCAATGGTAACCTGCTGACTACAAAACATGACCCCAAAAGTTGACAGAGGGCATTGCCACCCCACCTTTTGACAAGATTGGAGTGAAAGCAATAAAATTTGTTTACACCCAGTGGAATACAGGCCAATGAGAGGCTAGTAGTCAGATTCAAGTCGATTTCAATTGGTTTGAGATGTTCGCCCCTCCAAACCCCCCCCACCAAAAAAAAGATGATATACAGGGTTTCCATAAAAGAATGAAGCAAAATTTTAAAAATTAATAACTTTCAAGACTTCTTGTAAAACAATGAAATAAAGACTGAAAGAGAAACCCTGGAAGGTTTTTTAGTATTTGTTTCATTGCTTTACCAGAAACTTTTTAAACTTAACAATAACTTTTAAAAGTTATTGTTTTAAAATAAACTCTAAACGGTTTCTGCTAAATCACTGCTATAGTGCAGGGTGTCCATAGAAGATTGAAACGATTTATTTTAAAAATTACTTCAACCTTCTATGGACACCCTGCACTAAAGCACTAGTCTAGTAGCAAGTCAAGGTTCAAGATTCGGATAGGAGCGTCAGGAGACGTATCCACCCATTATGACGTTCCGTGTCGAGGTCGAGCGTTCCTCATGTACAGAATCATAACAAGGCATACCCTTCTTAGATATTTTTGTTGGCGCATACCCGCCTACTGCCTAGTCGCTTACGGCTACGCTCCTCCCTTTCCTTGTCTTGTCTATGAAGGAATGAAGCCTCTTCTTGAAACTAGTCACGGACACGCATCGTCGCTATGCATTTCACGCGATCGCTACCATACAAGTGCAGAAGTTCTGTCGCAATCGGCGTCTCACCTGGGGTTCTAGCAACTCGAGTCGGTTCCCCGTCGTTCTGCTTCTGCCAACTCGAATATCATACCACGCTCTAGTTTATCGATTCCCTTAATGAACTTAAATGCCTGAATGAGGTCCCCATAGCTAACCTTCTCTCGAGTGAGAAGAATCACTTCTAAACGCTTCTCATACGTTTGTCCCCTTACCTCCTTGATCGTTCTCGTGGCTCGCCTCTGGACCCTTCTCGAGCGCTGTGAACCTTTTTATTTGTAGGCTCCAAAAACTGAACGCAACATTCTAAATGGAGTCTCACCAGCGCCGCATGTAACGGAAGAATAACGCGCATGCGCTTACTATGGAACGTCGGATGAAGCCAAGAATCTTGTCACTCGAGTCAACTCTTCTCGTGCATGGGTAATGCAACTTGGTAGGAACTAAATGAATTGGGGGTAGGGTTGCCACCCTTGATTTGAACAAAATATGGACAATTATTTTAAATATACCCAAGGTCACCTTAAGCCAAGGCGCCAATCAATACTATGAGCGTGGCCTACTGCGTTTGACTTATGGAAAATAACGATATTAGCTATTCAACTTTATTAAGTAATAAAATCTTAAGTTTTCAATATGGACTTTGCATTTGAAATATGTACTGTCCATACTAATTATGAACGGGGTGGCAACCCTAATTGGGGGAGATGAATCATAACACATGAACAATCGAAGAGATTCTTCATTTGGAATGTTGACTAGGTGGTGAGCAAAAAACCCGTGACAGGATCAGGTAGGTCTATGCAACTAGACGAACTAGACAAAACTGGGCCAAATCATCATTCCGATCTCGGGAAGTAGAAACGCCATGATCACGGATGATACAAGATTCACGCTATGATTATCGAGCCATTCCCTCCCGCTGATACGGACCACACTGGGAGCCGGATGTTCCACGATCGCTCCAGTCTCCTCATCGTACCCCGAGAACTGAACCGTGGCCCCGAGCAGCGAATCCAAGACGCTGCCCAAGAGACCCGCGACCCCACCCAAGACGACGATCGGCCACTGAGGCGGGCTCTGGCCGAGCGATCGGGTGCCGAGACAGAGAAGAAGAGGGATGTAGTACCCGACCCCCACCAACATCCCTCCAAAGGCGCTGAAGACGAGTCCTCCTAACGTGATGCCACCGTTGGTGCCTTTGGGAACGATTTTCAGGTTGGTGATGAGCCGGGTTTGAGTCGTCTTTAGCACGGTGCCGAGCTCGGATGCGAAGGTATCTCCTCCACTGCAACCGAGGGCTCCGACGACGGCCAGTCCGAGCCAAGTCGCCCTGTAGTCCGACCCGAAGTTCAACGGTCGCTCGCCGTATCCAACGTCGATGAGGTAGATGATGGCCAGTTCGGTGGCCATGCCCCCGTTGCAGAGGCATTGAACCCAGTTCCTCTGCCCTCCTTCCTTGAACTCGGACTCGATCTTGCGCTTGAGATGCTGCCTGAACTTGGTGGCCTTGGAGCAGGAGACGAAGAAGGCCATGAGACTCCCCAGGAAGCAGTAGCTGCTCAGCGCGAGGAAGAAGCCAACATAGAGTCCAACAAGTGCTCCACTCAGACTCAAGCTCTTGCGCTTAAAACCCCACAAAGCAAACAAGATGGGGATGAGAGTCGCAGTCAGCCACCTCTCGGGCGGTATCCCGAGCGGCTCCCCATTGTCATCGGTAGAACCAAATGCATAGTTCAGAGCCCAAAAAAAGGCAGTGAGGGGAAGGAGTACTGACAAGACAACCAGAGGATACAGGATGGCCATGGAACCTATTATTTCATGTGCTACATAATGCAAAAACAGAAAATTTTATCACCCAATGCACTGCCAATTCTTACCCTTAATTGCTGAAAAGTCACCCTATGGGAGGAAGGGAATGAAAGTGACCTTCCATCATTTTCCAAAAATGCATGGAAAACGCTAGGTCTCAGTATCATTCCGTAATAACCAACAACAGTACCAAATCCAAATAGAGGATTGCTGCTTTATTTCACAAATAGATCATTCATACAAGACAACAACAATAAAAAATTTTGGCAACTGAGAATTTAAACCAAGCAGGTACAAAAGAGCCTCAGGAACCCGTTTCCTTTTGAGGAAACGAGACAGCATTCGGCAGTGAAGGGAAAATTCATTTTTCAACTGAAATATTACTTATTGATGATAACACCAGAAAATGTAAAACAGACTTTCTTACTTGCAGTACAATTCATAAAAACATAAAAAAGGTTCCTCAACTAATCATGTCTTCACTGGCCAAACAATAGTAAGAATTCTCAAGTGTGATTACTAAAATGACTAGACTCAATAGTCTGATTTTCCCCCAACTGGATGAAGGAGAATCTTGGCACACTTTAATTCTTATTGACAACCACTTGGATAATGCATGCGAGGTTGGATGAGGAATGAGAGCACTGAATCAGAACTGAATGTTTTTCATGTCATTTTTTGTATCTGTACTGACTAGATTTTCTGGGTAAATAGTGAGAGCAGGGGAGACTGGGGACTTGTAGTTTCCAACCATCTGCAAGTAATTGTCTTCACCAGTAATTTTGGGCTGTTCACTCTCCATGTTTCTGTACCATGGACCATCCAGTTCTCCAACCATTGGTTGCAATTCAAACTCTGAGGCCACTTCCGACCCACTGCGACGGTTCCTCTCGTTCTTCCCTTCGGGAACGTTGACGTAGCTGGGGCCAGGCCCATTCATGTTCACATATGGATCTCGTGGTTGCAGATATCCTTCATCTGGAGATGGGGTAACCAACATCTGAAGGTAATTTGGCATCTGCTGAAAGTACTCAGCGTTCATCTGCAGGAATGGTTTGTTCATGTCCACGTAGCGCTGGAAAAAGCAAATGACTTTAAATATCATCAATGGGACTTTGAAACCCAGACCTGGAAACAGTCAAGAAACAAGACACACCTGACGCTCAGATTCTTGCATCATGTTACCAAACCACTCAGACAACACAAAGAAATTTGGTCTCTCTTTTGGATCCACGTCCCAGCATTTTCTCATGATTTGATAGCTACCCAAAAAGAAAAGAAAAACAATACTTTTCTAGTCAATACCAGCTTCAAATTTCAAACCAAAGTGAGGTTTTAGCCTCACATGTGAGTGTTGGCATATTCTGGAGCCTCCATGCGGTAACCGGTCTGGAGCCGCCGGATGAGGTCTTCGGCATTCATGCCTGGATATGGACTGTTTCCCAGACTGAACATTTCCCACAGCGTTACACCATATGCCCAAACATCTGACTTGCTTGTGTACACCTTGTCCTGGATCATGGACTCCAATGCCATCCATTTGAATGGCACTGGACCCTGGGGGTTCAATCACCAAAAATCTTTTATCACCCAAACAAGGAAATGTATCAGGTGAGACAGTAAAGAACTCACATCTCCTTTCTTGACATACTGATCATCTATATAAATGTCTCTGGCAAGGCCAAAATCACATATCTTCACTATGTTATCTTCAGCCAGCAGGATGTTCCTCGTTGCCAAATCCCGATGGACAACCTACATTGTGAAAACTGTGACTTAGGGATCGCAATTGTGACATTGGACCGTTATAGATATGACGCATGGACTACCTTTCGAGAGACCAAGTAATCCATGCCTTGAGCAACTTGGAAGGCCCAGCACACGAGATCACTAGTTGTCACAGGCCTCTTGAGATCACCTTGGGTGGACTCGCCTCGGTAGTTCCATGGAGCAAATACCAAATTCTCCTCTCCACCTATGAAGTCAATTGATCCTCCAGTTCCTCATTTGGAATTAGCTCAAAGTATGGATAGATTTTCTAAAAAGATATATGAGGATACCACTGGAGGATCCAGATAATAGGGTGGCTTCGGTGGCAGCAGAATCCACCACGTTGCGATGAAGCCCCGAGTCGACTTCGTCAGAGGCAGTTGTTGTAGTGCACCCTGCCCGAACATAGTTCAGACTCCCTCCACTGTTCAACAGGTGAATTCCACATTAGCTGGATCCAAACTCTTATTGGCTGTACCATCACAAATACAAAAACAAGGATGGCTCACCCTTGAGGTGCATCTCTTTGAGCCTCAAGTGCCTTTGCCAAAGCAACATCATCACTCTGAAGCCGCTGCCGTCCGATCTTGGGATTTAACATTCCAGTGCGAGGGTCAATCTGATCAATGAAGTAGCGCTGATGCTGTCTAAGGTATCGCTCCAGACTCCCATAGACACAGTACTCCACAATCACCATCAACTCCCCTGCATTGAATTAAATTGACATGAGTAGTCAAGATATATTTAAGCAAGACTTCAACAGTAGGCAAAATTCTGTTTTTAAAGAAAACTCCCAAGTAGGCAATGGAGGGATTTCAGCAACACAAAACTCACCACGTCCAATATCCTTGGTACAGGCTCCAAGAAGGTTCACAACATTGAGGTGCCTCCCAAGGTGACTCAAGATCTTGAGTTCCATCATCAATGCCTTGTAATGCATCTGATCGGCCTGAGGCTTGCACTTCTTCACAGCAACAACTGTTTCTGGCTCTTGAGGCAAGATCTCTTGAGCCACTCCCTTTATAACGTGTCCAAATGCACCACGACCGATGATCTTCCCTATTAAATGGAACCCAATAAAAAAAAAAACATTATTTGTTCATTTGATTTTGCCAGAATTGAGAGATGTAGCTTTACCTAGGGTAAGCTTCTCCTGTGGGAATTCCCAGCGATCTTCATAAGGTAGCAAATCAGCCTGTTCACCGAGCCCCAGTTCGGGATTGATGTTTGCTGGCTCTCCTTTTCGGAAACGCTCTGTCTCTTTCTTTGATAAAGCAATGTAACGAGCCTGCAAGATTGATCAAACACCCCTATGAAGGTGAAATTCTTAAACAGAGAAATGTAGCCGGATATTCTGAACGCATGACACACTCACTCGCTCCTGGCGGAACCGGTAGTAAAAGATGGAGCCCACAGCAACAGACCCAATTATGAACACAATTGCAACAATGATCAGTGCTGTGCCTGCTGTTCCAATAGAACCTTTTGCACCCCCTGTCATAAAATGTAGAAAAAGACATCACTGAGGTGAGACAGAGAAACAGGGTCAGCAGAGAAAAGAAAGCTCAACTGTGTACCTATGATTTCAAGAGTGACAGCAGCTTTTGCCTCCCCTCCCCTATTGGATGCAATGCATTCATAGAGGCCATCATCATCCTCTGAGTACGTGTAAGGAAAGTACAAGGTCTGACCCCCGTTCCTTAGCTCCACCCGAGTTCCATTCGGCTTGAACACCTCTCCATCCTAGTAAACAAATTTTTTTTTTAGCAAACAAAACAACCACACACCAAGTGAAATTTCATGCCAATAATTATCAAAATATGAGAGCTGGTACCTTGAACCATGTAATGTTTGGTGGTGGTATCCCATGCATGGAGCAGTTGAGCATGACTGGATCCCTTTGCTTAACTGACAACTTCCCATCATCCATATTGGAGTCCTTCGTTAATGCAGGAGGTACCACTTCTGCAAGGAAAAGTAATGGACCAGTGCTGATCTCTGTACAAGATATTGCAAATGAAAGGAGAGGGGTAGGATTCAGACTTTCAACAGAGATGGAGATGATTTCTTGGGTCTTGTTGAGCGTGAAGGCACTCTGGGTATCCAGGAGGATACCCTCGCATCGATATTGACCTGAATGATGCAACTGGATGTTGCTTGTATGAAGAATTGCCTCAAGTGAATAATCGGTAGTCTTCTCCCTGACCTCCATGTCTATAAAAAATATACTCATGCATAATAAAGAAGGTCCTTTAATTGAGCCAAAAAATGAAGGATGAATATTGGGCAGTTCACCTGATACAGGTTTTGTATCTGTTGTGAAAGGCTTAAAGTTGTCACTGGAATGTTTCCGATAGCTCCAAGTCACAGAGCTAAAATTGTAAAAAGAAGCATGGCACTTCAGGTCCAGCAGATCCCCCTCCACGAGCTCTCGCGATGGGGGGTCCACGATGTCAAAACCGTCCTTGGCATCTAAATCCAAGAAGATGACCTCTGAAAACACTAATTTCATACATCTCCTTCATTAAATGAAAACACATACCCGTGACAAAAAAGGAGATCGTGTCTTCGTCACTCTCATCATGGATATTCAGTGCCACACATTTGTAGATTCCACCCTGGAGTGCCGTGACAACCAACTCGGATTCCATCTGATATGGTGTAACTACGATTTCGGTAGGTTCCTCTTCTTCATTCAACCGGAAGTCCTGTCAAATCGATAGCACAATACATTTTGGAGTCTAAAGAGAACAAGCATAGTATTTTAGGAAATTTGCTCTCACGGATCCTATATCTGTAAAGTCACACGACGACTGAGGTTTGCAGAACTTCTGGAATTCCCAGTAGAGTCTTGGCAGTGGGTAACCCTGAACAGCACAGACGAGCTTGTACCGAGAGTGAGGCGCGTAAAACTTGACGCCACCGCCATCGGTTTCTACCCTCGCATTGCCTGCAACAAGAGCAAACGTTCCAAACTTCGCATCCTGGGAACCTCGGCATCGAAATCCCACGAATCGCCACTCACTCTGCACGATGAGCTTGAGCGTGACCGTCTCCCGGAGCTGACCGACGATGCCCTCCAGTTCGTAAAGGCCGAAGTCGTTGAGGTTGACGTCGTTGATCTTCAGCGTGGCCGTCTTACGCTCCCAGTTCTCCTCGACGTGATACTTCGCACCGGGAATGATCTCCACGCCGTTGCGCATGAAGATGAGCTCCGGCTGCGGATGCGCGTCCATCTCCACGACCCACGTCACCTTCTGCCCCGCGGCCACCGTCACCGTCGTCGTCTGAGGCTTCAGCTCCAGCTTCGTGTAGTTCTCGTCTGAAATTGCACGACGACCGAGTACGCTATCGTGACCGATCCCAAGACGCCCGATGACTCCCGGCCGACGCTCACCTCGAACGATGACATATTGCGAGGCCTCCTTGGTGGAGTCGAAGTCCGTGACACGACAATAATATCTGCCCTCGTCTCTGCCGATCGCGCGACTCACCGTCAGGCGACTCGTGGCCAGCTGGAATCCACCGCCGTGACTCTCCGTGTTCGTCTCCTGTTTGATACGCCCTTCCTATATGGAAGAACTGAAACTAATCAAGCTTCTATTACCGTATTTCAAGGGTGGAAACGACGATGCATGAAACAAATAGCTCACATCATCGGGACCAGGATTCGGATGATCCCAGGTCCAATGCAGGCCAACATTCTCGTGCACAGAGACTGCACACGTGAGACTGAACGTGGATCCTATCACGACATTCTCTGCCTTCGTTCCATCGATGGTAGGAGAATTCAACTCGTGGCTTGCAGCTGAATTCAAGAACAGCTAATTAAGAGATGTCTGTAAGACGCCCAAGATTTGGTATCTTCCAGTATCTCAGCAAATTCGAATGATTTACTGTTATTTTTATGACTGCTTATAAATCGCCAGAAGATTCTGCATGCACAAACTTTCCCAAGAATAATTCAAATAAATGATTCCACTAGACCTTAAGATTTCCATCTATTCCCGTGACGAGCCGATCGGCAAGAACGAGATTCAAAGGAAATAGCTTTGGCAGACCGACAGCCGCAGAGAGGCGACGAAGGCGAAAGGGGCCCCGACTCACAAGTGACAGTGACGAAATACGACTGGAACTCGTCATCGGCCTTGCACTCAAACAGGCCGCTGTGCTCCTGAATGGTAGCCGATAGGATGCGGAAGCCCGTCTCGGGAGAGTACCGCAATCCATGCTCCTCTGGCTTTGACAGCAGCTAAGAGTGGGGATGCAACTCCAAGCTCATCGTCCGTACTCATGCACTCGTCGCTTCTATCATCTATGTATCTCTTTTATACGTTATCGATCGAGTGAATGTCCCTTGTGAAAGGGAGCGATTAAGTTCGAGCTACTAAGCTTCATAAAAAATTCTGGGTCTCGGCAAAAAAAAAAAAACAACCCCACACAAGCTACATGCAAGGACCCCCTACCAGCCACTATATCGACGGACTCCGCGCCGGGACGCCGTCCAGACGCCACAACAAGCCAAGCAGCATGCACCACGAACACGCCATCCGGTCCGAGGTTAGCGAAGCCCGTGCAAGCCCCAAGCGAACGAGGAAAACCAATGCCACGCACCACCACGTACAGTAAACGTGTACAATGAACACCGGACAGGCACAGCGTCCTCCGTCTTGCACGCACACCAGGCACGTGTCCGGTCGGCACTCGTACAGGTTGTGCTCCTCCACGATGGACCTGACGGTCAGCACGAAACCCCTCTTCGGGTCGAACTCCAGAGCGCCGTCTCGGGGGCCCCGCCACATCTTTGCCGATCGTTGTAACAAAAGCCCCGACGATATACGCAACCGACACCAGGGAAGGGAAGCATCCATGCTTAAGCATACGAAGAGTACCGAACGGGAACGTTCTACGAATATGGGCAATATGCTGATTTCGAGGATTCGATGCAGATTCACAGGAAACCCCCCGGAGAGGATTCCAGGATCGAAAATGCCACAGGTTAGTAACTTCGGACGGACGATGGGATTATGCTACGTGTTAACAATTTCAACGAAACGACATGCACAAGGCATCTCCCACCCCAACACACCACAACATCAAACGGCAACCCATACCATCCAACAACAAGACCCCACGAGAATCCCGCCCCGCCCCGCCACCCACCTGCTGATTCCTCCAGATCGTGACGTTGATCTCCGGACTCGTGGGCCGACAGGGGATGTCCACCGACTTGTACTGCCTCACCTGGATCACCTTCGGGCCCCCGCCCGACTCCACCAGCAAGTGTTCCGCGTCTGCAAGTCCGACAAGTTCGATTCTCACGCGTTTCATTTTCACTACTTTCCAGCCGCTTTTCGTTTTTAATCCTCCGTAATGGCAGCGGGCACCAGACCGGTCCAACTCGAGCGCGATCCTTTTCAGGGCTCATATATAACTCGAGTGAACCAAGTGCATCTCGTTCCCTCTTTACGACCTCATCTCATCGTGGAATGAGATCAGGTCCAGTCGAACTGGTCTCGTGAGCCGAAAACCACAAAATTGATTCTTAATTTTCCTTAATTTTTCTCAAATTTTCAGCTAACTTCATCATCCATAATTTCCTCCATCGTTTCACTTTCACACCCCACCGGGGACCCACAAGCCCCGACCTTCGACACATAGATAAAACCCCGCCTCCTGACCTTTGACATAGAGATAAATCCCGGTGACGTTCTCGATCGCCTCCAAGTTCTCCGTCCCCTCGTACATGCACCGGATGTACCCCGTGTCCCGGTACTCCAGTCCGCGCAGCTGCAGATGCGTCACGTACGGGTGGAAGGCGTCCGGGTTCGTCCATTCCGACGTGTTCGCGCGCGCCTTCACGTCCTCCGACTGCAAGGCAACACTCCGCGATGCAATCAACACGCTCTGCAATATCATCTAAGATCATCTGCTCTTCCTCGATGGGCCAGACCACACAGGTTCGTGTTTGGCTTGGAACTTTACGATGAGTCGATCGATCCGTCGCGTGCCGGCCGATTCTGATATCGTCACGCACGGACGAGAACAAACATCGACATTTATGAGGTAATCAAAAGCCAAATGTTGACCACAGCCACAAAAAAGGCGAAAAACCGAGCTTTCTCTTCCACACGTGGGTGCCGTTATCGCATCGCATCCGGGCCTCGACTTCGTCACCTTCCCGTATCTCGCGTTGAGCGCAGCACACAGAACGAACGAGGATGAAGAAAAAAAAACCGGATTATGATAATGGCAATGAGTAAGGGGACACCTTCTCCCGTAAAGCATGTCGGGCGGCTGCCACGCCCATCCTCTTCGCCTGATGACACACCAGCAGGAGCCCCCCTTCCTGTCTCTCGCATATTCCATATATTCTTCGCATATACCACACGAGGTACATGCACGCGCATGACCTCCGTCGAGGTGGGAAGAAGAGATTTCGCAAGAATCCGCGCGGATAAACGAACACTTTCATTCCGTTCGGCATTCGGCTCTCGACCCGGCGAACCGGACGACCCTCTTTCGAAAGCCTCCGCTCGCTGGAGCAACGAGACTCGAGCGAACCCCGCAGACGCCGCTTTCCTTCCGCGCCGATCGTCCGAGTCGGATCCCACGGATCCAGAACTCCGCGATCCTCGCGCTTATCTCAGATTTCCCTCGATGCAGATCCCACCGTCCAGACACGGAGATAAAGCCTCCTCGCATCTCGACCGACGCGTCATCCGGCCACCGACCAAATAAAGGGGCAGGGACGTAGCCGGGGGGGTGTCCCGGGTGTCTGGACACCCCCCGAAAAGAAGCAAGATATCACGAAACAAGAAGTATTGGAATGGGGAGTGGGGGCGGGGTTGTGTGTGAAAAGTTTCACGTATGCAACGGAAGTTTTGACTTGCACTCTTATTCCACCTTCTGAATACAATCACTCATAATCATTTTGCTTTCAGTTTTTTTTACTCTAACCAGTTTTTTGAGTTCCAATAGCAAACCATGATTAAGGAGTAGCTTTCACCCACTATATTATGACTAATTCAAGGTTAGTCCTTACCCATATCTCCCCTCATGCAAAAATTTGTTTCTAATTTTGGGAAAAGAAAGGGGGCCATTTTGAACTATGAGGTAGGTGGGGCTGAAGTCTCAAAAAGGCTTTCCAAGTTTTCCTCATTCCTCCCAACCCCTCACCTTCCTCGGCCACTTCCGTCATCTCGCGAGCCTACAAGAGCCTCACAAGACACCCCCCGAAATTAATTCCCGGATACGTCACCGTAAAGGGGAATCGGCGGCTCCCTCTGGGACACCCACAAAAGGAATGAAAAGCGAAAACACGAGCCAGAAATTTCGACATCACCAGATCGAAATCGAGAGACCTACATCTGCGGTTGGAAATAAAACGAGAACCGGTTCAGAAGTACTTCTTGCCGTACCCTACCGTTTCGACAAAGATTCTTTCCGCACGTGACGTGAGTTTCGCCTTCAACGATCACGTCAACGGTACGACAAGATCATGACGTATTTCTTCTTTAATGTAATTAACGACCCTGTACCCAGAGCATGTTTTGAAAACACTTCCTGCTTGATCCCATCTCCAACCGAGCGGGACCGAATCGACAGGCCGGTCGACACCTTTCAAACTACGAAGTCTTCATTCACGCATTCGTTCTTCATTCGTTTTCATATTTCTTACTGGCTTCCACCCTTGCAACTCGCTCGGAACAGAAACACGAGTCCCCGTGACGTCACGAGACGGAACCACGTGGGCAAGCGAACACAGGTGTGGGGGATTCATGACCTGCACGCCACGGTCGAGTAATACGACGTGAGTCATCTGGACTTCCGGCCAGATAAGAAACTCCAAATCAGGATCCACATCGCGAATGAGCGAATGAAAACGAACCCTCGGGTGCCCGTGGGCACGTGACGATGATGGTCGGTGAGTCACGAAGGAATCCAATCCGTCCATTAGTCGAGGTGCGTTTGAAAAAAGCCCCACATGCCGAAGACCATTTCACCCAACTAATGTATATAATAATGTATAATGTCTCATTCGAAAAAAAACTCGAGGGCTTCCATGAGTTTCTCGGGTGGGCACAGCCTTTTCTCTGGTCTTTTCTCTTCCCCGTTCGTTGCTCGAAATCCCACGATCACCGCGAAATTTGCGTATTTAGAAAGCTCTCTTTCTCTCCTTCAGAATGCATGAGGTCTCCCACACGGCGATCGTGGGGAGGCGGAAGGGATGGGTGTCGGTGTGAATAAATGAAAATGACCGGAAGTGAAGTCACCGACATTTCCACGACCCTTTCGTCGGCGCGCCCAAGATAACCCGGGAGTGCCGACGGAGGAGTTAATCGTGGACCGTTCCACAAGGAACGTTAAATTGGAACGACCGTCCACTTCACTCTTTGATTATTTATTTATTTTTTACATTTTTGCTTTTACAAGTTCCCTGGATTTCAGATTTATTTCTTATCGAATTTTTTGCCGGATGAATATCGATATCAAACTGACATCAAATTTACCCGAGGCGCGAGTTTGGACAAACGAGCCACACTTCTTCCTAAAAGAAAGCAATCTCGCTATTTAAAAAAAAAAGCAACAACTAAAAATATATATATAAATGAATACGGAGAAAACTATACCAAGTTAAAAAAAAGGAAAATAAAAAATTAATTTAAAAAATGGGGAGAAAGAAGCGAGGTACCATGCTCTGAATGTTCCATTCGAGAGGCGACTTCCCCTCACACCGAAGCTCCAGGGTGCCCCCGGCTTCCTTCAGCACCTCCTTCCCGTCCACGTCCAGCCGAGGCGGGTCGAAGCCCCGCGTGAATCCGCCCCACGCTGCAACATCGACACCCACGGATCAGTCGCGAAGAAAATCGGTCGAGAAGGGATTCTAACAGGGCAAGGGTTCGAGAACGGGAACGAGCTCTGCGATCGTCCGAGGCCCGTCGACACCGCAATTCGTGTTTATTTTGAAAGGCGCCATGACTCCTTTCTCGAGCGTTCGCGATTAGCACTCGCAAACGTTATTCCTCGCAGGTGTTCATCCTCGCAAACGTTTTTCCCATCCCACGAGAAACAAGCTGCACTCTAAGTGGCCGGTCACCTTGGCCTTTCGCGTCTCCAGGAACGATAGGGAGGCACGCGCTTATCGGCCATCGCCTGAGCACGGCTTCCCTGTCGACAATTCAATCGCCGAAAACGATGTAGACATCTCACTAGCGAAATTCAATCGAGTCCTTTGATCGGTTAACCAACTTTTAAAGAGTCCCCAGCGTTCTTTGATGCCTAACGGAAGAAGTTAATCGAGGTAAAGATGAATTCAGTACAGTCTAAAACTTTCGGAGATTCACCGATAAAGGAGAACATTTTCCAGGAATTTTCTCTTGTTTGCCCCTTCTCAGCAGGATTGTAAAAAAAAAAAAATATGGTTGTCGGAGGGTTGTATGCATCTTATGAATTACCTTCGTACGGCACCTTGAAAATAAGCTCCCAGTAAACAGCAAAATCTAGAAACCCTGCGGGCTCTCCCCTCGCCGATGGCACCGGAACGGCAAGTCCAGTCGAGCAGCCTTGGGGCCACCCCTTGACAAAAGTGTATGGGGGATTCCTCATCCGAGAATTTTGATCAGGAAGAGACTATACGTAATTCATCTTTCGTTTCTGATTAGCAGGTTGGGCAGAAAATTGGGAATTCCAGAATGCTCACTCTTTCTTCTATCCCAAGAAGGTGCCGGGAAAAAAAAAGACACTAAGGGAGGGATTTGGTGGTCGATAACAATTTTCATTAATATTACCTTGTCAAAGAGTAATAAATGTAATTATTAAATGAGCCCAGTAAAATGTTCCCAACTTTCACCAGTCAGGTGAAAGCTCTTCCCACGGCCGAAACCGCAGCACGGTCGCATTTAGGTTTTTTTTTAATTTCACAGGCATTTATTAAACGAGTTGGAATCGAGCGAGTCACCTAATCCAGAAAAAAAAAATATTTCATGAAATATAAAAATTTCAGTCCATGCGAGGAGATTCCGGGGGAGTTCGGGGTTTTCGCTTCATCAAATACCGTTTCCAGGCGAGGACGAGCCCGACTTTCTTTTCAGGTCTATTAATAATTTTTCCTGGAAATCGCCACAAGTCATCGCGTCCGCCTTCGTGGTACAGGCATTTTATCTCGACGTGCCACGGATGGCGCCTCGACTAATCATCGATGTCGTGACAAGTCACGACACCGTCTCCCATCGAGCGAAGGCTGGCGAGAGGCGAGACCCCGGATTAAAAGAAGCTCATGTTTAAGAAAAGCAAATGCGGTCAGATGCCCCTGCCCCCCGCCCCTTCGAAAAGGGCTCGAGGCCATGCTGCTGGCGTTCACTTCGTGGGTAGAGGCAGGAATGAGCAGTCCGCCGTATTCGCTCCGAAACAGGTACGCAACCGGATGTCCCGATGCCGCAACCATGCATCCCGAAGCGTGGAAATGCCATCCAAGTCCGACGCTTCGACTGCGCGTCAACGCTTCGTCCGACGTTCGAAGTGCGAGTGAAACGTCTCGAGGGCGAGACTTTCACCGTACGATTTTCTTCTCGTGGCAACAACGGGTTCACGTGCGTCGTGATCGAAGCTAAGTCGACGATCATTTACCGCGATTACTCCGAATCGACGCCCACATCACTCCTTTTCGCGGATCGCGTGTCGACGAACGATAAAAGTCATTCACACACCATGTTGTTTCTCCTCCATCACCTTTTCCGCCTCCGCGAACGAGAAGGAACGAACGGACACCGTCTCCGTGCCGGAACCGAGCCGAGACGATCCGCGACGGCACGTGATCCGGGCTCCTTTCGGACGCAATTTCTCGAAAAGGGCATCGGTCGATTCGTAGGCATGGAAATCGGCCCGAAAGGCGAAATAAAATGGTATCCGAACGGGATTCGGGAGAGTTTCTCTCCCGAATACCAACTAAGTTGCTCTCGCATATAAGCTTACGAAAAGAATGCTTTCTTATGAAGAAGAGGAATTCCTTTTCTCCGCATGCCAATCAGTCGGTATCTTCACGTCACTTCCTGTTCCCCTCTCCCTCTCGAGTCCCCATAAATGACGAATGGGCCCGATCGCAACTAGTAAGGATCAACAGACGACACCAGACGGCTTGAGTTGGAAGAGGGCACGACGAGATAAGCTCGTCGAGGCATTCCGAAGCCATGGACACCCCATTTCCAGTTCACGGGAAAAAAAAGATCCTTTCTCCACGTGCGTAACACGGCACGCGGAGACGAGGAAGGAAATATATATAAAAAAAAAGGAAATGTCCTCGGGCGTGCAAGCTCGAATGCTCGCAACGCATTCGGCCTTACGTCATCGCCACTGTTTAACTATACGCCATTCCCAGAGAATAGGCCGACGAAAAGGGCCTCGCGGATTGTTTATACTCCTTGGCCTAATTGATTCCTCGTACGTGAAAGGCCACGCCGAGAGCCTCACTCGTCGAGGGAGACGAGACTCACCTGTTGCTCCGAGCAGAGAGACGAGACAGACGAGGCGGGCCGGACGAAGAAGCATCGTTGCACTGTGACGACGGACGGGCGACGTTATTGGAATCCTCGTATCGTTGAAAACGGAGACATGCGGCCGGAAACGCGTTCAGGGCGAAAACGGTCGAGGCTGCGTTTCCACGATAAAACACATCCTCTGCACGTCCACGGGCGTGCGAGTCGAGAAAGAGAGAAGAAGCGACTGGGTGCGTTCGGCTCGATTCGCAGACACGGACGGAATACGAGTGAGGGAATTACGTGAGCTCCAGGTACAACCACGTCGAGAGTGGGCGAATGTGTGCGAGTGCGCACGAGAGTCGAGGGCTATCTCTCAGGATTCCCCCCCTCCCCCCCTTACACCCTGTGACGTAGCGACACACTTTCTACCATGCCGTCCCGCGGTCCATTCCGAGTGGGTAGGAGGGACCGCGGGACCGCGGTGCGGTCTGAGCGAGGTCGCTCCGTAGACCGCGGTCCACCGGTGCCGCTGAGGTAAGGCCCCGTGTGGACCGCGAGTCGTCGCGGATGCGGACAGGAGGGACCGCGGTCCGTCGGTGCAGCTCTCGCTTCGCGTCGTTGCCAGTGCAGCGAATGCCGTTAATAACACGTATTCCCTGGAAATCTCAAAGAACTAATGGGCAAGACTGCCGTGAGTGTCCGAAACCATATACCCGGAACTGACGTGAAAAAAAAAACAACAAATTAGTCATCCATGGCTAGAGGAGCTTCGTGGAAATTATTCCTCGACGACAATGCTAGGACGAGCAGCAACACGGTTCAAGGCGATTTTCGGTCACCGTCCAGGCAAACACACGCAGTCAGGCGAGCCCTCCGTATGGTTTCACCCTTTGTATTCACGATCCAGCGATAGACAATCCGCGAGCGCTCCGAACAATCGCTACTTCCACACAATGGGGACGGGAGAACCCGGGGAGTCGCCGACGAGCCCGCAACGTCGAGAGCGACGTCGGATCGTCGACTGGGCACATGATTGCGATTCGTATCGGCAGAGGCTTCCGAAAACGATCTCGTATCTCCGGCGACGTTACGGAACGCCGACGGTTTCGAAATTCGTCTGTATGCGTGCGAAAGATGTCAGGGATAGAATCTCTACAGCTTCTGGTAAAACGATATCACGTTCCAGTGCTGATATTTCATTTGTCCACGGAGGGGTAATCGACAAACCGGCTGACTGCGTGAAGGGCAGAAAACAATCGAAGGAACACCCTGAACATTCCGATATTTACTCGAATATAATATCCAAGACGATTTTTTACCTCCAGCATCTCCTCGAAAGCAGTAACCCGCTAATCTCGATGGGGAAAACGCGACAGAACCGACGATAGCCATGAGTCCCCGACCCGAGAATTGCCATTCCGACCCGCCTGATACGCCCCGACAGCCGACACGTAGTCGCCAGCGTCACGAGAAGAAAAAAAAATCGTAATCTATTTTGGGGCCGTGGCAATGAATCCTCCGGAACCTTAGTCACTCGATCCTCTATTTAATTCTCCCCAGGCACGAGACCCCTTTCATTTCCTAGAGGTGTACTTTCCTGATGGGGGGGGGGACCGTCGCGGACCGGATTACTAGGGGGGCCGACGCGAGACTCAATGTCACGGCAAGAGATGACGTAATCCCCGGGGAAAGGATGCCATCTATGTAAGTTGTGACGTCGGTGTGCGTGAACATGCGTGAACGTGCCTTGCGTGTTGGAAGGGGGGGGAAAACCCAGGGAATCATCCCCGTTCCCACGGTCCCCGTCTTCTTCCGGTGCTAACAAAAAATTTCGCCTTTTTAAAGTTCTTTTTAAAATTATCGCTGCACTTTTAACGGCAAAATACGGGGAATCAAGGCTCAATCATTTCATTTGTGCGAAATTTCGGTCTCTAACGAGGAAAGTCGGCACCGTGAAAACGTCTCAAAATGTTCCTCTCGACCCGCATACCCGTTAAACCAGCGTCTGCCCTCGATGCTCTCTTACAAGTCGTCAAGAGCGACTCAAAATGGCGACGGGATGCATGAATAGACCTCCAACAAAAGGGTGGTTGAATGAGTTAGCTAAATGATAAAAAACGGCCCATGGCGCAAAAACTCTGTTGATGAATCAAGTTCTTACGCAATAAAAAGGAAGAAGGATCAGACACAATTCCTTCCCAGCGAGCCCATAGGGAAATTTGTTTAATTTTAATGCGAACTTTTTGGTACGCCACGTGTCCCGTATAAAATTTTACTTCATAAGGTTTCGAATGCCTTGACGGTTTAGCACAAAAAGTGCACGTCTTGGAGAAGCCGTACGAAGTACACGCTTCCGAAACGCTCCAGGGAAGAATGGATGCCGGCACGAGGTGGAATGGATGCTGGCACGAGGGGAAATCTCCCGACAGCCTCTCTCGCCTCGAGACTTTTTTTCATCACGAGATCTTTTCGTCACGTACTGTATTTTGTAGGGCTGCACTGATGGCCACATTTGGCTGATGGGCCGATGACCGACCATCATCTCATCCCAATCGGCTGGTGCCAGTGTTTTTTCATTCAAATAGTAAATTAGTAAGCCACGTCCGATTTTATCACGGCCGTCACGCTGGGTGTTTCGGAAACATCCATGTATCGACCCGAAATATCGGTAGAGCATCGATGCACCCAGGGGATGAGAGTGCCGGCGGGTCCAGTCTCTTCTCGCCGTGTGCCAAGGGGTCCAGTCTCTTCTCGCCGTGTACCAAGCCCTGTTCACGTTCTTTTTGTTTTCTACGTTCTAAACGTTCTTCTTTGGACATCGGCAGCTGAAAATCCTGCCGATGGTGCCATACCGACGACCGATACCGGTGGTTTTCGATACATCGGTATAGCCCTAATATTTTGTGAAGCACGCATAAAATTGCATAAATGCATGCATACTTAAAGCTTTTCTCGGCCGAAATGTATTTTCCCACAGTCCTAAGGGATTGCAAGAATACACAGATGCAATAATGCGCCCAGTCTGGCGAAAATAGCGTCGAAATTCGTCCTCAATGCCATCAGTTTCCTTCGTCAAGGGGCTCAAAACCCAATCGCAATCGGTCGCAACTGACAATTTGAAGTAGCGGCATTTGAGGACTTCACGTGAGTTTTTCTAGGTCTTCATCGTAATATACACAGGGTGCCCCATAATCATGCACCCATTATACACAATTGCGGGACGCATCTGTGGGAACATATAATGAAAAAAGTAAACGGTAACGTTAGGCCAATCAGCAGAACAAAGGCCGATCAGCAGGTGCGAGCCTGCAAGTCTCACGAACGACCCACAAATCCCGCAATCGCATCATCAAACGCGTCCCACCAGGCCCACGAACGCGCTCTGACGCGGCGGGAACGACGCGCCGCGTAGAGAGCTTCGCAGACAGCGTAGAGAACTTCTCGGGCCGCGTAGAGAGCTTCGCGGGGCACACGCTCCCGTCGGTCGCTGCCCGCAACCCGCGCGGGGCTTGGATGCAGGCGAAGTGGGGGGCCTCTCCGCACACACGCTGCGTTCTCGGGTGCCCCGCCCTGTGAAACAGCGCTTGGCTCCAAGGCCGTATCTCGTCTCGGCTGTTTTCGCTCCTTCACTCGGCGCAAGCTTTTGTGGATTTGGGGCGCAGACTGTCCGACCGTTAGGGGGGATCGAGTGGGTCCCGACAGTTTTCCTGATAATACTTTTTTTCCCGCTTTGTTTGATTTTATTTATTATTTATTTTTGTGCCGTATTTGTTTTGTTTTGTTTGTTCTGTTTGTTTTGCGTTTTTTTCTCTTTTTTTTCACTCTGTGGACTGCACCGTTTTGGGTGGTACCCTGGAATTGATTGCCAGCAGTTCGTCTGCTTTTCTACGAATGTCTAGTTTAATCAAAACGAAACTTCCCAAGAATAAAGCATTGGATAGTAACTAAAATTCCCAATCCCATAAATCAGTAAATGGGATTCGAGAGGGAAACGCAAGGGCAACCCCGTCTTCGTGCATCTCTCTTCACCGGCCACGCGAACTGCCGTCTCGTTTTACTCCGACAATTCAGTGAACTCCTCCAGAAACGTCCCACGATCAAGCACGACGTTACGACCACTGCTCACCGCCACAACCGCCACTGAACCGGGAAAATCGTCCCTACTGACCTGGACGGAACGAAGGTGGCGCAGAGATGAAGGGCGAGGCAGTCGGTGTCGGCCGGGTCTCCCCCAACTTCGCCTTCCGGGCTCTCGAACTCCATCCGGCTGGCCTCTTGGGGAGCTTGGAGCCTGCCGGTTTCGTCTGGGTTATGGGAAAACGAACTCGTTTTTTTTTTTTCCCGGGGTTAAAAAATTGCACTTAAAGATGCCTTTTATTTTTAACCATGCGAATTGACGAGGTTCTGTCGCATCGAAGAAATCTCTTGTATTCAAGCAAAAAAAAAAATTTATCTCGTATGAGACAGATTTTTCTTGCAAGAAACTTGTTTGAGACTCTAATGACACGAAGGGGATCAATGCAAGGGGCGAGGGAAATTCCCAACGACAAGATCACTCTCCATTAAGCAATTCCGGGAAAGGGATGAAATTATTGGGACGGAAAAACACTTTTCCTTGGAAATTCATTTCTTCTGCTAGGGAGTCAGGTTTAAACGGAGACTTTAAATTACGGGGGATTTCTGCCGGGATTCGTCGGATCGCTGGCGTTCGGATACACGAGAGTTCATTGTATTTACCAAAACTTAGAATCTTAGAACACTCGGATCGATTGGAGAGCGCGAGAGCAAGCAAGGTAGACAGACTATGGATAGAATATGTTCATCTACCTTTAGAGCAAGGGGATCCCTTTTTGCACATCTGGGCAGGCTCTCCCGGAGCACTTGGCCCTTTAGAGCTCATCTCGAAAGCAAACAATCGTCTGAAGTCATCACAAATTTGTAAGCCTTCGAAGAGTTAATGAGGGAGTAAGTGGTGGACCCATACATCTTCCCGATAAACATAGCATAATATATATATTGTAAAGATATGCAAATGACCATTCCGGGGGTCTAGGAGTCTCGACCCAGCAGCATGAGCCACTCTGGCCGTGTTTGCGAAGTCGCATCTTCGCACGCTCTCGTTCCAATCTGTCGATTGGCGGGGACAATGATCGAACACGAAATGCAAAACTGATATCTCCTTCATTTCATAACTTCTGTGTGATTCACAGCACAGTTAATAAGCTGAGGTTACTAATAAACCCTCTCTCTGAGGCGAAGGACACTCCCAAGAAAGAAGAAAATTCACAATCACTCATCACAATGGCCAAGTTCACATAAAAAAAATACAGGGAATGGGCTATCTTTGTGGTTGGAAGGGGGAACTTTGTGAAATTTCTCAGATCTCAGGCATTCTAAATAAAATGGAATTTTTTTTCTAGGGTAAGCTCAGGGTACCGCTTCTCATGGACTTTTCAACTCTGAACCGAGCCTCTACGAACAGATCACAGCTTATGCCAATAATATAATCAGGTTTTGCAATCCTGCTTTTGCAATCGAATCTGGTGCCGAAGAAATTGTGGTGTCTGCACTGATGACGTTGACTAGACGAGTTGCTGGCGTGGCATTGGAATGGAAATTGAGCTTTCTGCCACACCAATGCTTCAACTCTCCTCACTCATCATAAGATCACTGCTCAATAAACTTGCCAGTCTTTTTTTTTTTAGGGTTTCTCTCTATACAAGGAAGAAACCACTGGTATCTCTTTGTTTTGTGTGAGTTGGTCAGTCCATTCAGCAACTGTGCACATGTCTCACTCACATCCACATAAATAGAAGTGCAAGAATTCTCATATGTGGAGGTGCACAAAAGGTTTTCACGCAAGAAATCAAGGAAATATACAATCATGGGGCAGTCTTATGTTCTCAACCCTCAATCAAGGGGGACACTTTCTCAATAATTTTTTTTCCACTCAACGGGAGCCATGATCGGTTCTTAATACAGTAAGTGAAATTGCAGAACAGTCCGAATCCTCATTGGTTGAACAGCAGGTAGCAAATTTGCAACATACCTGAGGGGCTAGATTATTGAATTACTTCACTCGTTTATACAATCGTTCCCAGAGTCTGTTCGAAAGAAGGACATTAGCCTCACTCCTGGATCAACACAATATACATTCGATGACACCATTCTGGAGTGAATGTTAATTTGCTTCTCTTGAACCGGCAGTGAATAACGTAAGTAACCTGACGTCTGAGTAACTCCACACAGATTAGAAGAATTGGACAAGTTCGTCGAGCCAGGTAACCGCAAAGGTGCAAATGATAGCAGGACAAGAACACATTATGATGATGAAAATTTGCCTTGTACCTCTGATAAAAAGACTCTGGGAAATAAATTTATTTCCTACAATTTCTGGAAGAAAATTAGTTTTTAAATTTTCATCACAAAGTGAAATCAGAATCTACCACTGGAACTTCGAATTTTGGTTAAGATGTCTTTGCCAGATTTTCTATCTTGACAGGAGTACACTAAGAAAGAGGGGATGATCCAAGGCAAGATGAAATGAGAAAGCCTCCAGACAAATGCAGCAGGAGACCAAAAGCAACATGACAACAACAAATGTTCAGTCCCAAGTTTCAAGCATCACATAATTTTGTGGATACTGTCCAGTCTTCATGGACTACATATGAGCTGGCTGAATGCTGCTCTTCACTTGGAATGATTCGAGTGACTACACAAGGAAGATCTCTTCCTGGTGTGAAAACACGTAATCAAAGAACATGTTGATGGGTTGAATGTTGGCCAAGGACATCTGTTGATCACGCGACCAGCACAGATTGGGGCCAAATACCACAGCCAAGTTTGGGGATGTCATCTTATTTAGGTCACTCCTATCCATCACCTAGAGATACCAATGGTGTTGACTTAGTAACTCAATCCTCCCAAGGAATCAATCAAACATCCAATTCTAAATCTGCTCACCTTTGACAAGAACTGGGCAACATATTTCAGTACTGTGTAGTTATCCATGGGAAGTCTTTCCAGGATCAAGTTCTTGACCAAGGAAGGTCGATCATCTCTTGGGAGGTCTGCAAAATTGATCCACCACATCCAATGTATGAGTAGGATTTCAACATGTCAATTCATTGAAAAGGAGCTTCAAAATGAGGATAAGACTAACCACAAAAGTGGACAATGGTTTCAAATAATTCAAAGGTCATGAGAGGTTCCTCAAGCTCTCGAAGGAATTTCTTGAGAATGACAGCAGCAACATGAGGACTTTGGAATTCCACTTCTTCTCCCAAATCAATCTTCTCCTGGATGGTTTTAACCATTGCAGTTCCAGCTGACCTCCTGAATATCCCTTCTGTCTCTAGGGCTGAAGAGAGAAAATGCTATAACAGTGAATATCACAGCACATGCTCGAAATTTCAGATTATCACAAGTTGATTTAGTTCAACAGTCACTGGATGTGCCATATGTAGCGCCCGCCATGACTTATCGCCTCCCCCCTAGTCAGGCGCCAGGCTACGGTCCGAAGGGGTTGAAATTAATTGCTACTTCCCCACTACACGTGTCCTTTCATCATTAACAAAGGAGAATGACAGAAAATTAAGACAGCGACAAATGAGGACAGACTGGCGGCCTTCGTGAAATCTATGGCTTTGCCGCGATTCCGCTGTCAAGAGGGATCAGAGGTCGACCACTTTCCCCCAAATCTCCTGAATCCATTTTCGGAAACATCCTTCCGGCCTTCCGACTATTCAGCGTCTGAGTTTACCGTGACGTGGACAGTCATGGAGAAGAGTATAAAAACTCGACTTGGAGGGTGGAGAAGGGAGGAGGAGGTAGAGGTTGGTGAAGAGTTCCGGACTTTGTTGCTGCTGCTATCATCAGGCACCGGGTTAGGGTCCCTGTTGGTAAATCAGAGCCTTGCTATTTCTACTCGGTTGGAGCCGAGGTGCCTAAGAGCCGGTTGTAGCCGGGCTTGGGTGGATCTGGTTGGGGCCAGATTCTGTTCCTTGCTGGTTGGAGCCAGAAGGGACGTATAGAAATAGCAAGGCCGAAATCGGATTGTGGGCGTGCGGAGGGTTGGAGCCCGAGCAACCCCTTCCGGTTTCGTTGTTTAGCCGTGATTGAAAAATCACGAGACCTCGCGAAAGTGCTGCATCGAGGGGGTGAGCTGAATCATTTTCTTGTTCGCAGAAGTTCTTTCACTTTTATTCGTTCACCTTTGAAAGCGAAAGCTGTCGCGAAGTCGTGCTGAGGAAGATTTTGTACAAATCTCATTTTTGATACTTTGTCAATAGAATAGAATAAACGAAATCCTGTGAAAACCCAGTCTGTTGGAATCATTGTCTAACGGCCACTGATTCCGTCCGACCAATACGAACCATCCCAAAGGACAAATTTCTAATATCCTTTTTAATTTTTAATTTTCTTGTTTCGCGACGGTCAAGGTAGTTTGCGGGTAGCTATTAAAGTACATAGACGTACGAGTAAGACTACCGGCCACACCAGACGACCGCGAGCGTTACATATATTTCATGTTTAGTATAACTGTGTAATACCTTTCATTCTTCATACTCTTAAATAAAGACTTCTTTCTAACATAGATCATGTCTGCTGGTCCAGTTGATAATATTGATGTTAAAGTGACCTCCATCCATTAGATCAAGAAATATATAGGCAATGTATCAAAATTGGAGACACACAGTGGAGGTGAACTACGGGAAATTACAATACCTTTGAATTGGTTTCCATCGTGCACAATAGCAATAAGCACGGGCCAAACATTTTGGATCCTGGTCCAAAGGAATTGCTTTAGATAAAATTCAAGACTGACCAGAAAGTGGAATAAAGGAAACAATGTCTCCTGCCTACCCCCATTTTCACTCCCTTAAGTGGAGTCTTTCTGGCTTGATACCTTGCATTCATTTCAAGTGTCCTCACATGCTAGGAAGGGTGGGATTGAGGATCATAGAATACACTAAAGCAGACACACATAAGGTACTGTAACATGAGCATCAGGAAGAACAAAAGCAAAAAATGAATAATTCAACCCTAACCTGATCCACAATCAAGAAATACAAAAAACCAAGCCAATACGGCCTGCACACTCAGCCAAATCGCCTGGTCCAAGCAGATCTCTGATGTAAAAATATTTGCTTAGTGATCAAGGGAAATTACCATCAGGGTGTGAGAGGTACGAAACGGTGGCTCTGACCACAGGAGGAATGGGATGTCCCTTCCCACAATGCTCTTTGATGAACTGCAGCGACATTCCAAACTGCTTCGTCTCCAATGGGCAGTGGAATGTGGATGTGCTCACCCCAACATCGTTGGTCTGAGACGACGTCGGTTTGGCCGATCCCAACCGTTGCATCAGTCTGTCATCGTGTCTGCAGAAAAAGCAACCATATCTCACCACTGACTCATTCTCGTTCACAATTCCCTCTGGCATTCACATTCACGTCAATAATTCTCAATGATGACCCAGATACGATGGGAAAATTTTGACTCACTCTTGAACTGGCTTGGGAATGCAGACTTGCTCCAAGTGAAGGTGCTGTTTCAGTTCATGGAGGTAATTCACATACATCATCTTCCTTCCAAACTTCACACTAAGAAAAAGAATTTAAAAATCACATTTAAAAATTTGAACTAATAAGCCAAATTAGATATGGATTCGGCCCTTCAACTCACCTGATTGCAGGCCGAAAGACCTGCCAGACGATGCGGATGAAGTTGGTGGGGTGGACTAGATAGAGAGCTTTGAGGTTCTTACGGTATCGTCGATCAAAAGCTTTGTAAGCATGCCAAAGCCATGTGAGAGGTGGCTTATTCTTGCTGTTCAGCCCATGGTGAAAGTACACAAGACTGTAGTCTTCCTCGACATATTGATCCAATGTGTGCAGCAGATACCTAGAAATTAATATTATACAAATTTTACTATCAGAGTCCCCAAACGGCCCCGATACTAGTTTGGGGGTGATTCTTGCAAATGCAGATTGAAGCTCAAACTAAGCCTCATAAGCATTCAGACCACAATTCCTAATTCGAGTAGACAATAACCACTGCTTGACTGAAGGAGCTGTATTGGGTGGAGGGAGAGATACAGCAGAGACCGGCAGTTTCAGTAAATTGCTGATACAGTGATGAAGGCAGAAGTATAACGCATAGCAAAAATCATACAATGCCTTTCCGTGGAAACAGTTTATCACCACGATATTTGCCTCAGAATCCATTTTGTCGCATTTTTCAACTTTGCCAATTACTTCATCTAAATTTAAAAAAAGGAACAAAGGGCAATAACTCGAATGCTTTCATATGGAATCCCTATTGTCTGGGAGCCCAAGTAATTCTATTGATACCAGATATGAAATTACAATTTGAATAATTCTATTTAAATGCAGATCTGTATTTCCCTCTGGGAATTATACGATTGATTCGTAGATACTGTGTTCTGTCTGTCGGAATCGTAGCGAAGCGAAGCTACATATCTCAAGCCTCAAATATAAAATAAAATAAAGGATTAAATAATCTACCCACAGAATATACCAAAGTTCGAGTACGATGGCAAATACTGTTTTTCCAAGGAATAGTAGGACCTGGAATAATTGAATACAGCCTTCTCAAATGCGAGGCTTCAGATTATATAAATTAATAGAATCCCCTTAGATGTCCACCCACCCTTCTATTATTGCCCTCGTGTCAACATCTTCCTCTCGAAAATCCAATAGCCTGGAAATTCAATCCGGCGAAAGCGATCGGATTCTTAGAAGGATTGGCTGGCACCACTTCCCTCTTACTGATGCGAGGTACGGTTTCAAAGGGACAGGTATCGGGTATCTATCCTGCTCAGAGCTGTCTGACAGTCAAAATTCTGCCAAAAACATGACCATAAGGTTGTTGAAGGGCCAAGAGGGAATATCATAATAAAAAAATTTTTTTTTAAAGAACTGTTCTGGACGGTTTTCCTATAGACGCTCGTGTCCATCCCCGGCGGTTTGAGAACTGTCTTTCCTCAGGCAGAAAAATGAAAAAAAAAGGGAAAATCCGTTGTCGCCCAAAAAAATTCTGTAATCGGCAAGATAACTAGCCACACCAGGCAACTCTGTCCCTGCCGTTTTTAAAGTAGTAGACACCGACCGGAACGGAAGATATACCTCTCCGTCCAGGTTTCCGGGTCAGTCAGTCGCCGCAACACGAAACCAAGCTTCTTTTGCTGATTTTAAACTCAATAAAGAATTAACCAACTGTTTAAATTCTGTCTGTTGCTTACAGAAAGAAGTCTGTCATTTGTGCAAGCGCATTTAGATTTGTACTTTTTTTTCCTCACTAAAGCCATATGCGTGATAGTTTTAAATGTAAGATATCTGTGAAGGCCGCGTGAATTAAACCCTTCACGACCGGCAGTGAATGCGTTATAAGAAAGACAGGGCATCCTTCTGACGAACTTAAGACTGGAAACATCGAGCACAAATGCGCAAGGTCCGAGGAGTCCCGCACCTGAGGAATCGCTCGTGATCGAGGACTTTGTTAGAGGGAAGCTTGCAGGCGGAGACGACGATCACTTTCCGCCCGTACGTGTCGTCCCCGACCACCTCCACGATCCCGTACTTGGCGATGTCGCCGAAGTCCTCCGACTCCTGCGAGCCCTTCCGCTTGGCAGCACCCTGGCCCACGGCCCCGTTGAGGCCGTTGGTGTCCTTGGGGAGCCCCCCGACCCCCTCCAGGGCCAGGCTCTGGAAGGCCCCAAGCTCCTTCTCGAAGTTCTCCTCGATCGTCCCGTCCGACACCGGCGTCTCCGCGTAGTCCCCGCACACCTCCTCTTCTCCCACTTCTGCAGGAATTACATGGCAAAAAATGGCCTTAATGACATTTCAACGTTCTGAGGACAACCAAGCCGGTGAAAGTGAACTGTGCATCATCGTACGGTAAGGACACGAGGAGGCAGAGGGACTGGTGGGAACTGGGACGGGCATATACCAAGTTGAATTTTCATTTCGTCTCGAAGGCTTCATTCTACTCCACCGCCACAAAATTTAACAACTTATCTTGCAGAAACCTAAGACGTATTCGAGTCATTAATGACGATCTAATGAACCCATTCGACGAGGCACGAGGAAAACTCCTGAGGGAAAATCCCCGTGTTCCCAGAACTCAATTACCACCTCCGCACAACACCACATGGTCGCAAAATCCGCTTACTCACTCGAGGATCAGGATTGTACTGATGACATATGCATGACTCCAAGAGAAAAAGTCCCTTATCAACATGCTTCCTACCTTATCTGTGCAACGTCCACGTCGCCACTATCGCGTCATAGAGAACGAAAAAATCGATGATAAACCACTGCAAAAAACAAACAGCCCCTCATCCCGAAGTACTTAAAGTCCGCGAATCCCAAACGCACTCCACCTCGCTCGAAGCACATATCCTTCGATGCCGATTCTAACATTACTGTCCTCGAGAGCGCGAGTGGGTATTGAAGCCGAACCGGGCCTTGAAATTCCATGCATTATACATCCAAGCGGAAGGAGACAAAGGAAACTTCCTTCCCTCTCCCGAGATTAAAAATAGCCCAAAAGCTAAAGTGGTGGCCCAACCGTACGTCTCATATCCGCGGAGAGACATAAGGGGGAAAAAAATAAAAAAGGGAAAAAGGAAACACGACGGCCCTTGACCAGAGGCAACTCCTTCCCGAACGAAAATGCTTCCCCCGGGAAAGTCCCGAAATGAGAGTGAACCCAGAAGAAAGAAAGAACGGCCCCCGTAATGGAATACTTTACGACGTCTGCATGTCCTCTTCCGCCTCTACCTCATTTCTGGCATGAGAATCATTGGAAGACCCCGAACGAGTCCAAGAGGCCAGGGGAAAGGGTTAATGATCGGCGAGACCGCAGCAAAGGGAGAGCGAAATGACTTTCGACAATCTCTTCCACTAAGTATCTCCGTGAATCACCCGAAATCACCAGGCTTTTTTTGTGGACTTTTTTTCTAATTCGTTTTGGCTTGGGAGTCGTGTCGACGACCCGAGCAAACAGAATAAAAGTACTCAAAAGGACTGGTACCGCCGCTAATTCGTTTGTCGGTGTCATCAATACAGCCGCACTCAATGGCTATTTAAAAAAAGAGAAAACCTTTCTTCCTCCATGAGTACTCATTTTGTATTTGCCGGCCCGATGGGAGAGAGGGGTCACGAATCCGTCGAGAAACGTTCATTGATCCGCGGTAATTGCCGCGCAAACAATCCGCAGCCACGCAGACAGAAGGGGTTTTCCGCTTCATCTTCCTTCTCATTTTCAATGAATCACCTTGACACTTCATTTACGAAATGAGAAATCCCCGCCTCAAATCTCTCCAAGCCCAGATTAGGGTATCGAGCCCGTTCACATCTGGCAACGGCGAAGAACTCCTTCCGTACTCTCGCATATCGTCCATGTCAAAGGACACTGGGGCGAATATGTAAAGACTAAAATTTCCAGGGACAAGATTTTGCACTTTTTCACATGAAAGATTAATGAGAGCTCGCTTTCGCCGTTTCGGCAGATAGGGGAACCAACATATGAGGATCACGAGAAACGAAAGCTCATTTTAACTTCCAGCACATTCGCCCTAAGTCCCTTATATATTCTCAACGAATTCTCAACATGCATCTGACAGAAAAAGCCCCCTGCTTACTGTATCTTGCATAGTATTATAATAAATATCGTCTTAATCCAGTTTCTTTAATCATTGTTGAGCACTCATAGACAAAGAATCAGTACGAGTATCATTGCAAGAGGAGTATATCAGTACAAGAAAGCAGAGAAAGAGATATTTTTATATGACACACTCTAAAAATTTATACGTTAGTCATATCGACGACACGCTGAAGTCGTAAAATACTGCACCTTCGCCCCTATTTCAAGGCAAAATCTGTGCGGCCGAAAGGTCGCGATTCGACGGTTCACATCCTCCATCGCGTGCGTCTCCGTGCTGTCCTTGGAAGGCACAGCAGCCACAAGGGCAACAACGGCCTGGCGGATGAAAATATCAACTCCGAAGCCCTCCAGATGCGAACAAAAACCAAGAGAAGTGACTCGGTCGCCGGGAAGAATGCTCGATGACACGGCTCGAATCCTATAAACGACTACTACAAGCATTTCGCCCTGACCATCTACACATGCCAGACAGGAAAAGCGCTTGTTCACGTGTCACTCATGACTGGTCTTGAAGGGAATGCGATATGATAATCCATTCTGGCCGTGAGTGTCGAAAGGTACGACAGCAACGACCCGAGTCGGAAGGTCAGTGCATTTACATCACGCCATTTTTCAAACCCTTCCTCCATCCTTTCCTCGGCATCATACAATTTTCAATCGGTTTCTGAGAAGTGGTGACAAGTGCAGTGAGACAGTCTCTTGGCGTTCCTTTCTTGGACAAAAAAAGTTCAAACACGTCATGAGCGTGGCAGGCATTTGGAAAGCTCTTGTGACAGTGATTCTGATGGCTGTAGCAAGGAGAGAGAAAGTTACATTTAAGTCCACTATGGAGCGGGATAACGCAATAATAGTTCTGGGAGGCTGACGATAGAAAAAAAAAACCTAAGTTCAAACTATATCACTGCCTGGTGATTGTGGCTGATGTAACACAAATTCCACACCTCAACACAGACTCTCATCTCAGTCTCTCGCGGCAGCGCAATATTTCACAGTATATCTTGCGAAGATTAACACGAAATGCCCTTTTTCCCCATCAAAGTGAGGTGTTCGAGTGGAGAGGACTAACAAATCGTCATTTTTGGTGGTAAGCAAATTCCAAGGGGTCAACACTTTCAAAGTTAAAAATCGGTTTTAACTGCCAGCGAGCATCAAGAAATAAACCGTACTGCAAAATTTAAAAAGCGGAAAGTACAGGAAATCCTATTCATTTAGCCGGTTTTGAATTTCCTTAGAAACGGCATGTCTCCACGAAAACATCTATATAGGCCGAACTTACATCTCATCTACGTAAACAACTTTTAAAGGCCTTCTGGTGTTGATCTAGAGCAGCCTCACACGCAGCAGGAGCCAGGGAGCAACTGCCTCCAAACGAAATTACTGCCCCTTCAAGCGAGACAAGTAACATGATACGATTGCATACGAGAAGTCTCATCACCGAAATGAGAACGATAGATGCTTTCCAGGTTCGTTCTCACCATACTTTGCCCCCCCCCCCCTCTTTGCCTCCCCCCTACTGTGAAATTCTGCCTACGGATTAGAATCGCTGTCAATCACCCTCACCGAGGAAGGCAAAAACAAGAAACATGGAGTGGCAAAATCAGAAGAAAATTTGGAACAAGTTCTTCGTCTCTGCTAAAAAAAAATTTAATTCTAAACTTAATCAATTAATAAAAGCAGTCGAGGGAGTCAGTTGTTCCTCATCTAAGTGCCAAATTAACGTACGTGTGCACGAGGTTGGGGAGAGGGGGACGCTAGGGATGAAACCGGATGTACCCATTAGTGAGAGCGGAATCGACGTCTATGAACTGCGGCGTAACGGAAAAGAAAGGGGAGAGAAGGGGGAGGGGGGGGTTTAGGGGTTTGACCCCTAACCCCTTTGACCCCTAGCTATACTAAATCTGATATTTGCGCCAACTGCACTATGACCATGGAAAAGAACTATCTCTAAGGGCGAAAGGTTTGCGTGATTTCATACTGAGAACGCGAGACTGAAAATTTGATAACCGGCTCCTGGGGAACTGTCACGATACATTCCTCATTCCCTGAATGAAGTGTCACTGGGGTAGGGGGGGCACGAAAATTCGGTCTTTTCCGCAAGTTGAAACCGAGCTAATACTATTTTCCACTGTAACCCAGTCGTATTGAGTGAAACAGCGAGAAGGCATCACAAGGCGATGAATTGAGAAGAAAGCATTGAGAACCTACACAAGAGATCATATTAAATTAATATCCTCTGCCATTTATGCGCTCTGAATTGGATTCGAGCATGGAATCAAAAAACGTTATCTGGAGTACCTTCCCCTTCATCCGAACATTTCTTTTTACAGCATTTGGACTGAGCCGTGACAGTCAAAATATATCCCCCCCCCTTTAAGACAACGTTTTAGTCCGAGTCTGGGAACAGACTCGGAAGGAACAGACATTCTGCTTTAAAACTGCTTTTAGATTAGATTAAATTGAAATTTGGATAACGTTCATCAAAGGCGAGAAAAAGACTAGGCCCGTTTTACAATGTGTTCATGTCAAGTTTATATAAGGTTTAGCAGAGGTGGGGAACGGACCCCTGGACCATTCAGCCTGGCAAGAGGCCAAGAAACGAAAACCACGCTACAAACACCACGTCAGCTTCCATAATGTAGTGGTCGTAGTGCTCGCGTTGCTAAGGTAAGCTGGCGTTTGTCAAGGTAGAAGCCTCTCAGCACTAACACTCTACAATTACATCGACACGGCAGACGAAGGCGACATACTGGGTGGACAAAAATAAAACGCTCCATCAAATTTCAACAGAGAATCGTCAAACGGAAAACGCCTGATTAAAATTCTGGAATTGCTTTTTCTAGGACCGAAGAGAAGATAGCATCACTGCGACTGCTGCTGTGCCCAGTCACACGTTACAGACGTTTTCTTTTCCAGACCTATAGAACCATCAAGAACAGCAATCCGAGCCTCCTGACGTGACTCATCTATATTATTTCCTCAAGGGGATTATCTGAAGGAGCGTCTTTCATTCTGTAACCTTAGAATCTCCAGGAGTGGAAGAAATGCATTCAGAATGAAATTAGGAATACTCCGCAAACAATGCTCAAGTGTCCTTCAAAGCATCTGCAGCGGCGCAAGAGAGCCAAAATGAAGCAAGGCGACAATCACCCCATCATAACGTGCACCCCGAAAATTAAAAAACAACCTAGAAGCATTAATTCCTGAATCCTGCCTCCTCATTTTCATTCTTTACATGCTGCATTTTCCGATGAATCCATATCCATATGATGAATCCAATTACTTTTCTTCGGGCTGAGTCTACTTATCAGTCTCTTCACATGCGTCCCTTGCAGCGTCAATTCTCTGATCTTGAGGATGTGGTACTCGCATTGAGCTCAGACGGGGTGACGCACACACTAGCTGGAACTCAATATCACAGATGAGCAATGCGATTGATGTGTTGACGACTCTGTTTTTTATTGGTTGCACGCAGTTTCTTTTTGCTTCAATCATGCTTCAAATAATGATGATAAAAACCAAGTCGAACCTATTATTTTCCGAGAAATACTTCAGACATTTAATTTACTTTCAGGAGCTCTTCTCCGAGCTAATATTTTCCCAGAGAAAACGATTGAGTCTTTCTTTTTGTCCACCCTATACGCATTACCATTCCGTGCGTATGTGTCTATTCCCACGTCCTTCTTCAAGAAACAATGCCTTGATCACGGTGAACATTGGTGCGGGGACAGACACGGCCAAGATACAAGCTAAATTATTTTTTTCGAGCAAAAAAACAAACAAGCATACGTTCTACCGCAATAATTTACACCTGCACATCTACCAGCAATGAACATCAAGCAGAAGCTAGACTGGATAGAGATCCCCCATTTCCTCGCCTGCTACCCTCCACCTTCACTTCAACGACACCACACCCAGGTTTTTTTTTAAAATTCATATCTGAACGACGAAAATCTGCTCACTGACTTGTAGCGATGCTGAGTGCAACCATAAACCGATCAATGATATGATAACATAATAACACCCCATCTCCAACGACAACATGCCGACCATTTGACATTGCATGCTTAGCGGTCTTGGACTGGAGTGCCTTCGTCCAAGCCAAAAGCGGCTTCACGAGGGAGGAGAAAACGACGTAGAAAAGACACGATTGGAAGAAAGAGGACACGAGATGCCATCGTCATGCCACACTCATTATCTAAGTCAGTGACGAGGAAATAACAGACAGAAGTCCCCCGTACAGAACCGCAGACATCCGCCATAACTCTCCCATGTTCACACGCCGACTATTCAAATGTACAAAAGTTTTTACACGTCGCTAATGCGCCATGGACGGGAGAGCGAGAGGATGGAACGATGCGGGAATCCCAGGTCGTTCATTCCATTAGCCACAATCCTGACGGTTGGTCCAAGTTCTTTCCCGACCACCTGAATTGAATTAAAACTTACATCCTGTCGTCTCAAATAAATTATCTACCACCTACTGCTAAATGAGGATCCTTCTCACCGGATTCCCAGGGAAGGATTGGGGGAGGAAGAGTGGGGAAGGGGAAACGAGGATTGGGGGAGAATCTCCGGTGAAAGTTTTTCTCGCCCCATTTCCAAGGATAGCTCATCCTGCCTCCCTGGTAGGAAGAACTCGTTTGCGGGTAGAGGGTAAGTGAAGAGAGTGACACGGGAAACAGAGACAAGCACAAACCGTCTTGAGAAGCGGCGGCAGCGGCCTGCTGCACCACCTCTGTGTCATCGAATTCCAGGTTCGGCTCGTAGTCGTGGAAGTCCGACAGGCTCGGGAATGGCTCCTCTCCCTCGTCCAAGCCTATGAAAAATGCGGGGGAAAATTCACAGCGTGAAATAACAGCTTCCAGCGCTCGGCCTTGCGGCTGAAGGAAGGGATAGCCTGCCGTCAGAGATAAGGGGCGGCGGGGAGGAATTTCCCATGCATGAGAGTATCCAACCTATTACAACACTCCTCTGCGTTCGTTCTCACGTAATACTGTCGCTTGACCATTGAACACATTCAATAGTAAATATTACTCGCCCATATTCAGCCCGAGAGTTGCATCTAAATCACATTTCATCGCACAATCCCCCATGATTTTGGGTAATTTTTGCAACCGCAAACTCTAACCGACTTTACCACTGACTTTGGCGTAAACAACACACGCTTTCGAAAGCTCTCTCGTGCCCGATGAGTGAAAAACCGGCCACCACGGCGAATTTCGATATTCAACCCCTCACAGTTACCGTTTATCGAACATTCATCAATTCGAAAGGGTTGAATCAACCCCCCCCCCTTTCGCTCAGATGAAGCGCGAGAAGTAAAACCAATATAGGGCACATCATGCACAGCTGACATGCATCCGTACCCTCGCGCTCAAATAGGAGAAAGTCTGGTAGTCCCACCCACTGTGAAACGATTATCTACACCACCGTATCCATTCGCATACAGGGCGAGTTCTGGAAGTTCAGTCATCGTTTATCACCTGTGCTCAACATCAATCATCATCAATGATACGGTGCTGGAAGTGTGCTTCAGAGACTCCCGTTATCTCGTATCATAGAAAACACAAAATTCCAAATATTCAAGAACTCCTAAACAAGTAAAAAAAAATCACTCGTAAAATTCAACTACATGAATTCAAAATGCACTGATGTGCACGACAGTTTCGTGACACATTGAGGACCGGCACCCAACACATGACGTCAATTTCAGAAATAAATACAAAGCGATAAGAGCGCAGCTGACGATATAAAGGTTTTAAAAGAAACATAAGGATGTCCACACAAGCACATCTCAGAACCAAACAGTAGAAAGAATCACAAATTTGTGTCTCCCGTCCTTCGAGATCGACTCGCGAAAGACATGAATTCGTGTCTCCCGTCCTCAATCTGTTAACCGAAGCTACACGTCTGCAAGGTGTTGAAAATGGAGCAGGTCGAGGCGGATTTATATTCCCTTCAAAGTCGCAGAGGCCGAGGGCATTGGATGTCTCCATTGTTATCCTGTCGACAGCCGCTTTGGAAGAAGTAGGACGGATTCCCCATTGTCATTTCTTCTTTGCCAATCTAGAATTTTTTATTTTTACCTTTTGCCTTAATCCAAAGCGGAATAACGTAGATTCCTACTTATGTGGTCCAATACAAAATATTTCATGGTCCATTCTTTCCGGCATCTACAATCAGCTATGGACAATCATTTACAAGGCGTCTGCATCCAGAACCGGTGACGAAATCCCCCCCCCCCCCGCCAACTCCAATCTCAGCTATGTTGTTAAAGAATCTCATGAAAAGTTGAATTGGTTGTAATATGTATTATCACAACCAAATCACCGAAATATCAAATTGCAATATTACTTTCTCCGCATATCAAATCCCCGCACACCCAAAACACGAACTTCTCGGTAACATATCCTACAACGTTCCTCCATTTGCTGTGGCGGGAGGAAATGAGAAAACATTTCGATTCCTTTGACCCAAATGGGGCAAGGACAGGCAGGTCGGGGGTACGACCCAGTATTTATGTCCCCGATCCAAGTCCGTTATGGGAGCACTTCGTTTCCCCGTTCCTCCCGCGTTCTCTGGGGAGAGGAGGGACGAAGCAATGAGGGACGCAACATGCCCTAAAATATCTCTTTGTGTCATTATAAGCCTCCTTTCTCTCCACCACGATCCGAGAGGAGGTTGGCTGTGTCCGGACTCATATCCCGCACATATGGGTTCTCGGGGGGTGGGGATTGATTGAAAACCATCTGGGACCATTTCATCAAAACAAGAGCAGAGATGAAGCCTTTCAAGGATTTCGCGGGGGGGAGGGGGGTAAAACGATTAGATACACTGTTCAATATGTAATTATGAGACTGATGCTCATCTCAGCCGGATGTTATGACACGATCTCGTAAACAACCCCCCCCCCCCCCCCCCCCCCCCCCCCCCCCCCCCTCAACTAAAACCCCCCCCCCCCCCCCCCCCCGACAAACAAAACCCATTCCTGGAAAGATCCTGCTGCTTGTAATATATAATTTCAAATGGAATGTGAGGTCCATGTACCAGGGTGTGGCCTAGAAAGGGATCCAGGCTGGAGGCAAGAAAGAAGAGCATCCAGGTCGATTCCAAGGAAAACACATAACGTGCCCTGAAATACCTGCTTGCGATATTATAAGCCCTCTTTCCCCTCTCCATAATCCAAGTGGATAGTGGCCAAGGAACACAGAAGTGACGCTCCAGAAGGAAGAGAGGGGGGTGAGAAGTACCGAGAGCAGTGAGGAAGTGATGTGATACAACATAGCAGTCGGGAGCGATCCATCATCCGGAGATGAAGACAGAACCTTTCAAGGTCTCAGGGGTTACGGAGTGGAAAATGAGCACGAGGAAGAAGATTGCAGACATCCCATCACCTTCCGCTCTCCCTCAGGAATTCTCAGCGAAAATCATGGAAACGGACCCGGTGGAAGGCTCCTCTTCCCCCCCACCCCATCCATCATCACTTCCGCAAAGGCATCATCTCTCCAAATGCGTGATTCTTCCCTATTGATCTAGGACATATACAGACCCCCCCTCAATCCTAATGCTTCGGTCATTCTTTCCCTTTATGGCCCTCGGAGATAAAGGGACTAGCAATAAAAATCCAATCTTCGGTTTAGACATTGACGAATTTCTCCAGTTACCTTCCAACAGAGGAAAAAAGTTTTTCAACTTCTCAGTAACAATCAAAGATCCACGACAACGCCCCAGCTCTGACATTTATCAAAATTTGAGACAAGGCTGTTCCCAAGGCTCCCAAGGATTGCCTTGATTCGATTAGTCAATCAACCCAATAATAAATCATTAATGGACTATCATATAAATACAGAGTTGTCCAAAAGTCAGGATGTTTAGTGGGGCGTCATAACGGGCACACGCGTGGATGCACTGAGCTGTAACTTCAAGGACGTGTACAGCAGATGATGGGGACGAAACGACGTGGTTTGGGAAGAGGGTCGTAGGTGGTGGCTGGTGGATTCCTGTTAGAAATTGGGTTCGGGTATGAAGGCAAGATGGGTACGGCAGCAGGCGACATTTAATTGCATACTTTCTACGGTGCAACCTGGCGAATCTTTCTTGCAAAAACGATGCTCCGAAAAGCCGTTACGAATGTCGCGTCCAGAATGAAGGCCCTTGTCGAGAATGGTGACGAACACAACGAAAATCTACAGTAGTGGCACCCCCTACGAAGCTTATATCAAATCACATGACTTCTTGCGCATCGTCCCCTGTACACATTCCAAAACATATAGCTCTGGAAGTTCACGAGTTTACCCGTTAGAGGACGTACCCAATAAGTCTCCTGACTTTTGAACCGCTCTGTACACACCAGAATCTGCCTCTAATGGAGGGGAGAGCCTATTTAAGCTCGATCGTTTATCAGCAGCTGTCAGTATCCATGAGATGCTCAAAAACTAAATCTGGAGATTGATTGGGTAGGATTGGGTGATATGGCGGCACCGAACATGCCCACATAATGAGACGCCATCGAGTATGCAATGATGACTTTGTCATTGGTGAATGAAAATCCACCAGTTGGCGTTTCCTTTCGCTTCCTACAGAACGTTGCTTTCCTTCACAAAGTCCAGAGAATGAATTCTGAGCAGCTTAAAACTCAATTAATCGATCAAGCAACCCATCAGTAATCAGATTAGCATTTTTGATCGATTAGCAGGCCTAGTTTCATATGTGCCGCAGTTCATCTATTTCAACCGTGTTCCACCCCCATGGCCTCCTTAATGAAAGGTAATAAATCTGGCTGTCGCCCACTTGTCAAGTCCTACGAGGTCATCAGCGGCGGATGTAGAGCTTTCGGATAAGTTTTGTTTCGATTTGTCACAAAATCCTTCAACATTGATGTTCTTGCGCGCTCCTCTCTGGCGATTGGGTGGAATAAGAAGTCACCCCATCCCTTCATCGAAAGAGGCCACGTTCAATAACGGAACGGGACGGAAAAGTTAGCGTGGATAAGGTATAATATATATACATAATATTTTTTTATTATTCCGCGGATCAAAGCATGCACTTAGCGATTTCGACTGGAGTAATGGAAAAAGGTCTAACCGAAATATACGATCCAACATAGTAATGGACCTTCGCATTCCCATTACACACGGCTATATTTGTGAGAAGAGAAATTGATAACGACGGGAAAGTCATCACGAATGTCCACATACCCATTCCTCATCGGGCTCAGCATCCGCAAATCTGGGAAATGTCTCCCAGAGAAACCTATTACCAACCCGTTGTCCATACCCCTTCCCCATTCCGCCTTCCATCATCTCGCTCCATCATGCATTTCCTTTTTTCCCCCATGCCTGCCAGCCTCTTGTCTTGCCTACTCGAGCAGATGCCATCCTTTCCACTAACGTGGCCATCAGAACTTTTTCTCTCCTTCCTAGGTATTGATATGTGTGGGGGTAAGACACTAATACGAAAGACGCTGCTGAAAGAATGTTAGGCCAGGCTACTGCGAGTGAGAAATAAGAGGTCAGTGTATGCTAAGAAAAAAAAAAAGGACTCGAATTTTGGGTGCATCTAAAATTCTGGCCAATATATATATTTTTCCGATACTGCAAGGCTGCGAATGCGCCAGTCAATATAGCTCCTGGGGGAGAAATTCACAACTTCCCCTAAATATGGGGACCTACATAGCTGACACTTCTTCAATTACAAGTAATTTTCGAATTATCCATCGTCTGCAAGCCTCATCCAACTGACTAATCTAGCATAATCGTTGCTACCCCTCATTGCCGAAATCTACCATGGAACTGAGCCTTCACTTTCTCATCCGTC